AGCATCCTGGGCTGATATCTCATAGGAGGGCAAGGCACTTCTGTTATGGCCAGGTATTTGACCATCAAGCCATGAACGTGTCTCCAAATGTGAATCATATGTTTGATCAACATTTTTGGGTAGGCAATATGGCTGTCTGCAATTGGCAGAAAACTCAGTGCTTTGAGATGATTTGTCTGATAAACTGAACATATCAGATTTATCAACAACTTGGATTTTGCAAGGAGGGGATTTACTAGATTCACATAAAACTCTATCATTAGGCCTCTTTAAATCTTGTCTACAAAGGGTACTTTCGGGTTGATGCATACATTCATAACTTTTAGACTTAATATCCGAGTATGGAACAGTCTGCTCAGTTAAAAATTCAGCATGTTTCAACTTGTTAGGTTCACTTAATTGAGTAATCTCTTTTGCAACTAAAGGGGCATTTGAAGCCTGGAAATCCATCTTGAGATCATATGGCTGATCAGCTGATAGTGCCTCTTTAGGCAAACCTCTTGTGTATTTAAGGTCATTACACATTGAGAGTGGTATTCTATCAGATGGGATCAGTAAAGAGCTTTGCAAAGTCTGTTTTAACAGTTCACTCCCATATGCTTCCTGGAGCATGTCACTCTCATGAGGTACTGGTAGCACCGGAGGAAGGGGTGGAACCTGGTAGTTGACTTGCACATCCTTTACTACTCCCAATTTGCTAGAATGACCCATCAAATTATAATTTGGCTTTGTATTGTCATCTTTTCTCTCTTGTTTGACATTTATTGGAAGATTCAGTGTCAAATCATGAGAGAAATTTGGGATCTTTGGTCTAAATCTGGGAATGTCAGTTATCTTAATTGGGGGAAGTAAGGGTCTAAATGGAGAGGACTGAAGTTTGTTTGGCCAGCTCTGTGGCTCATTTTTCTGATTGGCAGTTGGTAATAGAGGAGAAGTATGCATTGAATGTTTGCTTGGGTTTGAATCAGAAAAACTGTCATGACTTGCAGATCTTCCATGAGTAGAAACCTTTGTGGATGTCATTAAACCCTGTCCAGACTTTCTACCAGCTGTATGAGTAGATGCACTGGACGGCTTACCAGGGTAAGCATGAGGGGGTGTTTGGACATCTAAGGGTTTTCTAGATTGGAATGTTCCCCTTGTTGACAGTCTATCCAATGGCTTTTGCAATTCAAAGGACTTAGCAATTTGAGAATCACTTTTCTTTTCATACTTAGGGTGTAAAACTCTTTGATCATTAGTCCCTAAATCCGTTTTTAAATAGGGGGCTAAACTGAGGGGTGGAAAAGCTTGTTTAGTAGTAGCTCTTGTTCCATTGGCTGGAAGAGGCTTTAAAGGAGGTGTTTTAGATGGCATTCCCCCATAAGCACCCATCAAGGTTTCCTTTTCAAGGGACCCAGGTGCACCAGTTATGGGGGGTTCATATGCCCCACCTCTACTACTCATAGTCTTTTCACCATTTTTTGAAGATACCAAATTCATGTCACTTTTTAGGTCTTTAGTCTCCTGCTTAACTTTTTTAAGCAGGGGATTAAACAACCTACCCTCGGGAAGTGGTCTAGGCGTATCTAACCGTAATTTAGGAATGCGCGTCAATTTGACAGGCGGAGAAACCTTAAAAGATGGTCTCTTTATAGGGGGTGGTGTAGTTGCAGTTGATTCAAGTGGAAGTGTATCGTCTTGAGCCAATTTCAACTCTTGTTCAGTAAGGTGTTGATGGCCCAATACAACTTCAGAATCATCAAACCACCCGGGGATAATAGTTTCAAAAGCTTCCGCCTGCGATTTTTGGCTAGATAAGGGTCTTTCCGTGGATTCGGACACGGGTAATGGGGTGCGCTTTGCGAGATTTAAGATGTCCGACTTTTCCGACATTGTTAATTACAGTTAATGATCCCGCTTTGAATATTAATGAGTGAAAATTAGCATAAACGTAAGTAATGGCGTTAAACTGGGCTTGGGTCAATACGTCAAGTATTACATCACACCACAATGGCCACCATTTCTGTCACGACCCTCGTGTGGTAGCGTGGTTTGAGGGTCGTAAACAGAATACAGTCTAAGAATCAATAGTTTGATTTGATGTTTTCATTAACTTAGTTTCGGGACAAGTTCAAGTTGAAATGTGTATCCCTATTTATTTGAACAACATCCGTGTTCACAGTATCATAACAAAATTGGATCAAATTGGGATAAATTTTGCGATGAAAATTTAGGGATAAATTAGGGATAAATTTAGGGATAAAAATTTAGGGATAAATTCTGGGATAAAAATAATTGGGATGAAGTGGGACAATTTCGGGATAACAATTACGGGATAACAAAATCTGAATATAGACTAAGTAAGATTTGTCAGTTTTCAATGTAAGTTGTTTGTCTCATAAAAGCGAATGGCAACAGACTCCAGATTCTGAATGTGCCCTGTGTTCAGTTGTATCAAATAAGTATAATGTTAGGGTGTGAGTATAACCAGGTAGAAGTCTTAGCCACTGGGGGCTACAATGGACTTCGAGCTGTATATAAAGCTCACTGTTCACACTTAAAATGGGAGATTTTGTAAGAATTAAAGTAGGGCTATTTCAAATCAAGAGTCTGTCAAACTCATCAGGGGATAATATTACTTGTACACCATTTAAACAAGCAAGTAAGAAAACATTGGAAGTAAATGATGTTTGAGGTAACGACTTGGAACCAGGGTGAATGAAATTCTCACTAATATAATCAATAAGACAAGGGTTAAATAAGAAAGTAAGATCCTGGATTGTACTTTATCTGTGCACTATTGCATAGTTTCTGGGGAAATAAATGTATGACTTATTGCGAGTGATTGTTATTCAAAGAAGCCCTTAGCAAATATGAGCTAAGATAAAGCTTGTTGCTTGAATGTTCGTATCACTAAAGTCACCTGGAATTTAGTCGGAATCTATTTTGAATCCAGAATCTACTTTAGATAAAATGAGGGGGAATTTTCCAACATATATATAAACAATTGAACACAAGAAGTGATATTCTGTGGATTTTTATATAATGTATAAAAACGACTATATTTCTATTTACTAATCTACACAAACATTACACAATTTAGTTACGTTCGAGATGCTATATCAAGTAAATAATCTCTCAAACCAAACATGCATAAAACAGCACAGCTAATGGAAGTTCAGTTAAACAATTTGCAATAAAGCCTAAAATGTGTCTTTTTCCAACAATGTAACTCAACAGTGCAATTTTATATAATCCCTGGTGGGGTTGAAATCAGCTCTCTATACTACTCACATGAAAAGTGGGAAATCATTTTGCCACTATCAGACTATGGTACAATTGACAAACAAATGGGAAACAGTATTTTAAAAGTATTCTAGTATCTATAATGAATTAGAATGTGGTTAACATAGAATTAGACCAGACATGGAAAACTAGAAAGGGAGGGGGTGTCTTAAGTCCGAAAATGGGCTTCGAATGACCGTGACCCTTATAAGTACTTCAATGATCAGTTGTTTGATAATGGTCCCATAAGCCCGGGATTTCACCTTTAAATTACCCAGAATTTAACATACGAATATACAAAGGAGTATTTCTAGTGTATCAATAAAATTTACCCTGTGAACAAACTACATACAGTCCCAAACGGGATGGGGGGGGGTGTCATATAGAGGTGTCTATGAACCCCAGGAATTTGCAGTTGACTCTGGTTTAGAGCAAGTTACATAAGGTTCGTAAAGGCCGTAACTTTTCGTACACCTTGTCAAATATTCCTAAACGATTCCCTGTAGGAATGTTGTATAAGAGGTTAATTAAGGAACCCCGGGAACTTGCTTTCGACGCTGGTTAATAAGTTACATAAGTTCTTTAAGACAAAAACTCTGCGTGTAACTTTGCGTTAACCTTGTCAAATGTTCCTTAACAATCCCTGGGACAGTTAAAACATGGCATGTTCACAAGGCAAATAAATAAAATTAAGGAAAAAATCAAGTGCACAGATACTTCTTTTCAAAGACTAAAACTCTGCGAAAATACAATTAGATCAAGTCAATTACCTTTACCAACTCGTACACCTAAGTTGGTTTATCTGCGGCAATATAAATATCCAATTTTAGTGACGATTTAATGTTTAAAATTCCACAAAAAGTTTTCCATGTCTGGCCGGCTTGAATTCGAATCATAAAAGCACAGAAAAAGACAATTCACTTAAAACGTACTTATTTACTTAAATCAAGCTTAATAAGCCTCACTTTGGATTTTGTAGACAAACCCAGACAACTGCCCTTTCTAAAAAGTTTGTAACGTAGCATTAAACATGAAACTGGGCCTAAAACATTCACATTAAAGTCTTATTATGAACAAAATATATATGTTGACATTAATCCTGTAAATAATATTACATTAAAAACACAAGAGAAGGTTAGTAAAAATAAATATAAATATAGAGTAAAATTATTAAACTCTAACCATACTTTAAGAGTATAGCCAAAGTAGAAATACTGACTACCCTTTTACAGAATTTAAATTATTCTATAACTCTTTAAATATTGAGTAACTAAAAGCACAATTGATAAAGTGAAGAGCAAAACGTTGAACAAAGTGACAATCCTTCAAGGCAATTCCATTACCATGCTCAAAGTAATCTGAAGGATCGTCACAATTTGACTAGGAGAATGCACATACACATACACGTGACATGTGAATAAATTATAATGATTGCATCCTCTTTTTCAATCCTTTTGAATTGGACATTTCTACATCTTAGAAAAATTGAATCTTCAATTAATTACTTCCATAATATATACATGAATAGGCAAGATGTATAACTTTTTTCAGGAATAAGATGAGTTGGAATGGAAAGATGTGCATGCCATCTACAAAGATTGCTTCCAATTACAATGTATAGTCTAATCCTGCAGTCCCACTTTAAATTGCAAATTTAGAATTGAGAAAGTATACTTAGTGCCACTTTAAAGCATTAAGTCTACTTCACATTGGACATTTCTTGTCTTTTGCAGTCTGTTGAAAATGGGAGAAAAAGAGAATATTGTCAAAGAAGCACTTGCAGCCTTTCTCCAGAAAAATGATGCTAATGATTCAATCAGGTTTGTTCATGTTATAACTACCCTCTGCCTTGTATACCCTGCACACATTGTCCTACGAGTTGTAAGCTGTTGAAGCTCTCTTTTAAGAAGCGAAGTGGAATTAATGCAAATGGTAGACAACTGATTTATTTGATTTAATGAAATTGTGCTTCATGATAAAATATTATTTGGCATTGTTACAAACTTACCAACTCAAAAATATATTAATATTCCCAATGAAATGAATTAGAGTGGGATGAACAAAGTATGGGAAGCCAATCCATCCTTCCTTACATCACAAAGTATGAAGTAAAGTGGAGCAACTTTAGGTTTGATATAGATACTATTATTTTACCAATTAATTTATTAATAATTTATTTTATTTTACATCTCAAAGATTTATTCAAAATACTCTAAATGTATTTTTACAGCAATAAAAAACATATTTCCTATTATAATAATACACACAGTTGGTGTTTGTGTTGCATTGCTTTAATATGTTAACATAATTATACCATTTTTTATACATAGTTCCATAGATGAGATAGTATTGAGCTATATGGTGGGGATACTTGAGGAATTGGGAGATGCCAATGGGACTATGGATAACTTTGATGTTGAAGATTTTACAGAGATGATGACAGCATACCTTCCTGGCTTTGAAGGCATAGACAGGTACGTAGAGATGTTTATGAGCTAATCATTGTTCGATATGTGACACTGTTTAATAACACTATGGCACATTAGGTCAGATTGTGACATATTTTAGTGCTAACTATGATTTTGCGCCACCTATAACGTTGACACTATATTGGATTTGAAACAGCCGTAATACCTATCATTAAACTCCGATTAATTTGCATTAACAAAGGTCTAACAGCGATAAATATTCAACATTCCAAAATCTGAAATCATGCGATTGTTTGTGACTGCGATCTGTTTTTTTGGCCTCCAAACAAAAAAAGTGTTCCGCATTAGATTCTCTGCTAATTACGGCTCTATGAAACAACACATTAGAATATGAGGCTTACTCGTGTACATTCGCGCCTCAAATTTGCAGAACAGTTTCACTCATTATACCTCATCTGGGCCCGCCGTGTGAGCATCATAGGAGTAATATCATATACTACATTCTGAATTACTGTATCACATACATTTACCTTTTCAGTGTTGCAGTTTGCTCTTGGATGTTTGAACTCTCCAACACTTTGTCAACTGAGCATGAAAAAGGTAGGAATTTAAATGGAAAGCTAACTATGGTGCCAACTTGTTGCATGACTCAGGAAATTTAATTTTGACATTGACAAAAAGCAAGAAGGAATTTTTAAAGGGATGTAGGCCCCTTGCTAAATCTACTGGTTTAGTCAGCGATAAATATGAAAGAACAAATTCATTTATTTTAGTTCATATTAATTGGTCACAATTACTTTTGAAAAATAATTGAAATATGCTTTGATAATGTTCAAATGAAAAGTATTTAAACTATGATAAGGGGTCATATAGTCAATAATCACAACTTTTGTCCTGTTAACAGTGCTTCAGACCTAAATTTTCTGTACTTCATGTAAAAGACATAAGAATCTAGTGTCAGAAATTTCAACACAACTAAAATGTTACGTCCGTAAGCTATACCGGGTCTATATATTTTAGGAAAACAAATAGCTATAGCAAAGCAACCAAATAAAGAAATCACCCCAATTGCCCTTTCCCCATCTCCTCCAATAAACAGTCTACAAAATATGAACTTAAGTGAATGCCATTCACCCAAGCAAGGGATGTGCCAGGGAAGTTCACAAAAACCCATCTTTAATGGTATAGGAAGTTCACCAAAACAAAAGTTTAAGGGCCAAAGAGCCAGGCAACACAGGAAGAGCTCATCATCAAGGTCGGCATCCGAGAGCAGTGATGTCGCTGGAGCTGAAGCTTTTGAACAAGTAAGTATATGGCTGTTTCTTAAGAATTAAGATACATTCTGCATGCAATCTGATTTTTTTACAAAGGTCCATTGTATATGTGGGTGGAGCTCTTTGTTCTTAATACCATGTTTGGATCATTTACTTCTGGTACCAAGCCCTGCCTTGAATTACTTTATATGGTAAGTTGTCAAGCCAACCATCAAGTTGTCAACTGATGAGATCGTGATTGTGATTCGAAGTACAAAACAACAAATGTCAGCATGACAAGAGACACAGATGGTCCCGTCATTGTTGATTTAAAATTCGTTCCTATAAATTGTGTAAACTGTATAATGTTAACTCAGAAAATCTTTTAGACTAGGTTAAAAGATAAGATACTAGCACTTGATGTAAAACTGTACAAAACATTTTTTTAGGAAAGTCCATCTAGTATCTACATTGATTCTGGAGAGGAAAATATAAGACTTTTGTTGGAGATGTTTCCTGCAGCCTCTGAGGTTAAAGCAGCGCATTGTTTAAGGTACCATAGATTTACATACTATAATGTTCGTAAGGCATACTACTAGTAGACTCAGGTAAAAGTAATTAGACAATCACAAAGGCTAAAACTCCATAATGGAAACTGTAAATGATGTCAAAAAGTCAAGTTGAGGATTAACAGAGTTTCTATAATTCATTAATTTGCAATTGAAACCAAGTAACATAAAATGATAAATGGTATTTTTATATACACGAGTACATCTATGTACCTTTTTCATTTAGCATGGCTAAAGGAGACATTGAACAAGCAGCAAACCTGATGTTAGTAGCCCAAGAGTTAGAGGAACAGGATGAAACACCACCTGTAAAATCAAAGGTGAGTAACTTACTTCATAAGATGTGAGTGAGTAACACACTTATACATAGCCAAAGGTGAATTACACACAGTCATTACAACAGGTATCATCAAAGGTGAATAGTACTCAATCAATCATAGATTGAGTACATACCCTATACCATTAAAAGTGAGTTTCACTCAGTCTGTTCCAACAAAGGTGCGTCTCATGCAGTCTGTACTATCAAATGTGAGATTTAAGCCCAGTTGTTTGCCATAATTGTTTCAGATGTCATTTTGAAATATTCTAAAATTGAATGAATTTCTTGGCACACTGTATTAAAATTTTGGAAATTCCCATTTTTAACTTGGGAAGGTGTTTATTTATTCATGAAACAATATTGTAGACTCGTTATCGATTGTGATTTAAATGCTGTTGTACAAAATGGTGAATCACCAAATTGAATCAATTTACAGTCATATATATTAGGTTTTAGAGTAAACAGTTACAGGTACATTGTATATAATTTTAGCTATGGAATCCCACTAGTCCTTCAGTTTATCCATAAAAAATATTTGACAAATGAAAATTCATCTTAGCCAATTTTCATACTGTATATCTATTTTATTGGAGTCAGTATTTGTAATTTATACCATTGTCCCAGTTCCTACTTTTGCATTGTTTTTGAGGAATATACCTTTTTGAGATATCATCTGCTGTTAGGCAGTCATCAAATAGTTTTCTACAGCGATGTCAAATAAAACTGCAACTGGTCATTTCAGCAAAGTTGTTTTCATTTATTTTCAGTCACATAAAAAGAGCACTAAGAAAAGCACATTGAGTGAACTGGATGATAAAAAGTTAAAAAAGAGCATAATACAAAGGTAAGTAGAACATCATTCAGGGATAAATAAAACATTATACAAAGGATCATTTGTAATAATGGAAACTATAGCCAAAAAGGTAACACAAACAAATCTTAATTATTCAGTATCATATTTGGCACAATACACTGGCGGATTAGGGGGGGGGGGGGGGGCTGGGGGCCCGCCCTCCCCCCCCTTGGGTGGGCCCAGAAAAAAAAATGGGCCCAAAAAATTTTTGAGCCAAAAAAGGCCTTCAGGCCCCAAAAAGTGGGCCTTTTTGGTCATTACTGGGCCTTTAAAGGCCTTATTTTTTAATTTTTTTTATTTTTTTAATTAAATTTGGGCCCCCCCTTGTTGCTTCCAATATCCGCCCCTTCAATACTTCATGATTTTATGGACATTTTACAAAACATGCTCAAAATGCCAGTCTTGTCTTTGGAGGCAAACTTGAATACATGGAATGAAATTTTCTGACTGCACTCTTCACTCTTTGAAATAACCCCAAAGATAAAATTCCAGGGTTTCATATTGGATGATTTTGGCATTTGGATTATGCTTTGTAAAACGGCCATAAAATCGTGACCATTGGAAATAGACCAATGAACAAGGTTCAAAATATGAATTAAAACCCATTCTAGATGATTGAGGTATACAAATTTGTCTGCGTTGCCTTTTTTGGCTCACCCTGTATTATAATATATTCTAACCTTTTACACTTGATAATAAATCAATTAACTACTGAATTCACATTTCAGGTACTCTTATCAAGATTCTGATGAGCATCAAAAGCAGCACAATCCTGTTGTAAAAATAGATGTAAGTATTGCAAATCATTCCTGGGGTACCCTGTCATTATTGGTATTGTATGTGTCCATTTCATTAATATTTGTCTCACCTGTTGCGCCTCAGTCACATTTGCGCCAGGTGCTTGCCAGGGAGTAAGAATCGTGTTACTGTATCTCATTTCTCAGGGTGCTTACCATTTATCACGAAGGCTCCTGGTACTAAAAGACTTCTAGTATAACTTTCTCAGATGATGTCACAATGTTCATATAACGTGGCTGATAATGCTAATGCCCAGCCACAAGCACACGTGCACCTGTTATAAAAGTATTCTTTGTATAAATAAAGAAATAAAAAAATAATGTTTAATGAATGTTTGTTCTTGCAGGACCCCAAGAAGCTAGTCAGGTACAGAAATGGACAAGTGGTTAGTACAAAAGGTGAAAGGTTTTCAGAAATAAAGAAAGGAAATGAGGAAGAGATGAAAAAGACATACATAAATCTGAAACCTGCAAAACAGTATAGATTCCATTGAAACTCTCATACATGACAAATATACAATACATGTACAAATATACAATACATGTACATGTACAAATATACAAAACTAGTACATGTATATTTTATTACCATTTGGAACACAGACTATTCAGTACCAACATAGGTTCCAATGAAAAAAAGATATTAACGAAGTTCCAAGTTTAACTTATGACACAACGAATGAAACACAAACATACTATTCTAGTATATATTTTTCTACACAGCAGCAGCTGGAACTGAACTAATCTTTATTGCTTTTAAGCCTATCATATGTACCTTGCCAGAAAGACTTAACAAATCATGATCTGATTAGCACATCGAACAAAGTATTGGGGATATAGTGTACGCCTCTGTCTGTCCGTATGTCCAAGCAGTAACTCAAATACCATTGTCATGATATTGTTTATATTTTATATGGATATGCCGGGTATGCCCTATGTAAATTTAAGTTCTGCTCCAAAGTTATCATTTTGGTTAACATTTTAAAAGTATTTTAGATACAACTTATGGAATTGTAATCCAGTGTATTAATGTTTTAATGTAAAGATTAAGAAGCCCAATGGGCTTATTAGCCTTTTGCAGATTATTGACATAGACATAAAGACAAACCAAATGAAAATGGTGGTCATTTATATGTGAATCATTTTAAAATTTTTACTATACTCCAAGAGTAACAGGATGATTTTTTTTATATTTTGTATTTTAGAACTTGAAGGCATGAGACATTGTCTCAATTTTGTAAGATAAGTGAGCCATTTTGAAAAATGGAGGCCATTTTATATGTGTCATTTTGTATTTTTTGTTATAACTTGAAAGCTGATAGAATGATTTTATTAATATTTTACAGTATATGTGCCTACGTCCGAGAATCACATATATATAATATTCATTTTTCTAATTCATCATGGTAGCCATTTTGAGAAATTATGTCTAGCAGCATTGTCTGACACTCATTTGATGTTTAATGAGATTATTGCCATACTCATATAATCTTATATATTATTACAGATAACACATTGTTGTGTTTTGATTAGTCACGCAAAGGTCACAAAGGCAAAATGTATGCCTAGCTATGTGCTAGGAAATAGAGAATGAGAAATAATATAGTTACATATGGTTCTACGTGATTTATTGCACAATATTCTTATTTACAGTTTAAAAGCTGGAGTTTCCAGTCTAAGTTCATTTATACAGCTTTATATATGTTTTATAATGTAATATGTTTTTCAAGCTTTGTGCTGTGTTTATTCACTAATCATGTTACATATTTTATACAGATTTGATAGCATTTTGATACTGTTTTACATGTTTTTGTCAATATTGAACTATAAAAGTTGTTCTATTGTTTAATTAGTATAAAGATATATAAAAAAAGTTTCGCATGTCGTGATTTTAAACTCTTCAAACTGAATAAGGAAACGGATCAGTTTTTTGTGCGAAAAAGTTTGTGAAGATTCTATCTACATATTATTACGAAATCGTGGAAAAAGAAAAGGATCTTAAAACTACATATGTGTAACTGTTTACTTTAAAACTTGAATTGAAAGCCCATTCCAAAACAGATCCGTTTTCGTAATATTTTGAAGTATCACTGCAGTGGCATGTGCCTTTATGTTATAAATGACAGATTAGATTATATGCATGACTTGTAGGGAAATATTAATTTAAAAATAACATTTGCAATTCTGCGTAATACCTAGGATTGCAAATAAAAAAATATTGGTACTTTTGTTTAATTATTGTAAATGTTCATCTTCAACATCAAAATTTCTTTAAGGGGTTGCTATTGAAGTGTCTTGCTATCCCACCATACACATTTGTTTCACCTCAACACATTGTTTTTGTTGCACCACCACACACATTTGTTCCACCACCACACACATTTGTTGCACCACCACACACATTTGTTTCACCTCCACACACATTTGTTGCACAGCCACACACATTTGTTCCACCACCACACACATTTGTTGCACCACCACACACATTTGTTCCGCCACCACATACATTTGTTCCACCACCACATACATGGGTTGCACCTTCATACACATACCTGAGGCTAACAATTCGACATAATACTATTTTAGACCTGGTTTTATCATTTATTAATAGTTGATGGCTTAAGCAATTAAACATGTTTATGTACAATGTCGTTTTGTATCTTTTAATCGAGCTATATGTGGTTTCAAATGGTCCTTTTAGAGAATATATCACTTATTACATGTAGCTCTAATGTCTATATCCTACTTATACTAAAAAACTGAAAACTGAAAATATTTGAAAACACAATTATATTGTCTTGCTGCCCTTTTATGTCTCCAGTAATATACAGACATTCTCCTCAATAGTACAACGTCAACAGCGGGTATCATATGATCATAACAAGACTAACAAAGTATGCCTAATTTTCAAGTCTCGCCTCTTAAAAGTATGTACATTAAATTACAGAAGTATTGGTTTCTCAATAGTACAACGTAGATTGGGAAAGCTTGATGATTCTTACAATTAAAACTAACAAATATATGCCTAATTTCCAAGTCTTTCACCTCTAAATCTTAAAAATATGTACACTAATAGAACTCTTGGTTTCTCATAAACCCTATTTCCAAAGTCTCACCTGTATATGTTAAAGTAATGTTCAGAAACTAAAGCCTCGGTCCTATTTGCTCCAAGACGGCCGTACGGCGACCGTAGCTTCAAAAAGTCGATATGGAAAATCTACATTGTACTACTTATCACAATATTTTATGCTGCATATTTCCCTTGATTTAGGGGAGCTACGGCCGCCTTACGGTTGCCGTAGATAGATCAAACGTGACCGAGGCATTAATCAAGCCATGGTTTCTATTCAGCTGTCGAGTCTCTGTCTTGCAATATGTACACTTCTTTCCAAATGTTTGGCAATAGTCTATTGAAGTACCAGTTGCGACCAGTTTAAGTTTGGTGGGGTAACGATTTATAAGGGTTTTCGAGAGAATGTTCGATACATAGAAAGATCTCATTTTAAGTCACTAAACCTGTATCATATAATCAGTATGTAGGATTCAGATGTATTTTAATATAATGAAGAAATCTACTTTTTGAGCTTATACAACTAATATTTACATTACCCTGAGTGTCAGAGTCTAGTTCATTGGGCTCTGAATAAGAATATACAGTTTGAATAATGCTTAGATCTAAATGGTCCCAAAACTAGCTGTCAAAGCCTGTCGTGGCTCACCTTGGTCTAACCATGGGCTCTACCACCTGATAGAGCCCATGGTCTAACATCAGTATATTAAAACAATGTTGAAATTCGAAGATGATGTTAATGTACACAATTTTACTCACTGCGTTTTGCGCCATCTATTTACAGTCCGGATGATTAGTGGACTTCAAGGATTATGTACTCTAGGGTTGATTAAAATGCATTTAGCACAAACAAATACATTTTGTTGCATGATTGTGCTATCGTGTTATTGAATCTGAACTTAGTCTAGCTTCAAGCCCTTGTGACCCAACCGCCACTACAACAAGTGTGAGAAGGTGTGTAGTCAAGACGAGAGGGGATGGGGTCACAGAGCCTTGTAGCTAGACTATCTGAACTAATTGTTTTACCTTAGTACCCTTTTAGTAAGACATAACAGTAGTGATCACGAATGTTTCCTCTGATGGACACTGATTGTGGGTTAATAAAACAAAACTAGAACAATTGATGCGAGGGACAGAAGGACCACTGAGGCTTTAACGTGTGGGCCGTTGTTGCAGAAGTCGCCGGTACATGCAGTTTTCCATTGCTTCCCGGCAGCAATGTCTGTTTCGATACCCTGAGATGAGAGTTCCCCTTCAAGCGCAGAATCGGAACAACTACGTTCGATATTAAATGATTCAATACCTGAAAGCATAAGGTGGATTGAAAAAATTGAAAAAATCAATCAAGTCCTTTCCAGAAATCCCTATCTTTTTCTAAACCACAACCTTTCAGAGAGGCTAGTGTTAGTTTTAATGAGAAAATGAGTCTTGTATCATAATCGGATATTACTATTCACAATGGTAAACTTGTTTCACTCATCACTCATATTTGAATAATTGCCAGCACGTATGAAATGGTTGACTGCTAAACACATAACCATTACGTGAATGACCTACCAAAAATCTCCCATCTCTTTTTTACTTTTGTGCAGTACGTCCCATTACAGCATGACGCTATTATGCCGCCAAATAAGCCATCAAATATGGAGGACGCGGATGTAGTGGTTGGACAACCCCCAGAAGGTATCGTTGCGTCCTCACTGAAATTCTCGTCTCCACAACTATCCGTATTAACAAGTGCGGTACAACGATGGCAATTTATACCATACACTAAAATGAAATGTACACGATTTTTACATGTATACATGTGTATTTTAAACATCCCTCAGAAAAGCGTGAGATCGAAGATACCTTTTCATAATGCGAAGATGTATAAACCTCTTACGTTTTTTAAAAGAGTGCAAAAATAAAATGGGACTTCTCATTAGTTCAATACATTTTCACATAAAAGTTCAGTCTCTTCTTCATAAGCTGGTCTAACTAAACTCCAAATGTATCATGTAGGTCAAATTATTCACAAAATTATCATTTGATGTGAAATTTTGCACATTTTTCCTTGCATTATAAATCTATAAATCCACATTAATAATTTAGTTCATATATCATTTTTATCAATGTCAGTTGCCATTGCCATATCGATTATGCTAAACTATTTCAAAGATACAACGGACAATACTATGCTCTGGCATATCGTTTTCTTTCTAAACACAATGGGTACCAATATGTACAAGGACACTTTTCTCCATATTTTTGCTTGTTCGATTACCTTTTCAGGGCAAACATGAATTTGTATGTTACTCTGCTCTGTACTCACCGAGTGAAAGACCCGCACAAGAAAGAGCCAACCCAAACACCAATTTCTCCATATCACTCTGTCTGCAAATAAATGAAATCGGAACACAAATGTATTTTGAAGATTCTTTTTCAAGGAAAGCAATATAGTCCTCATTTGTCCTCTTTGAAGTGTAAGTACGGGGAATGGACACGGAGTATGGACTATTTACGTGGCCAAGTTGAGTAATTCATAATAAAATATTTCGCCATAACCAAAGACGAATTTAGCATCTGCCCTTTCACTGCCACATTTTTTATCCAGCGTCCTTGCGTCACACGTCGGCGTTCTTCCATGATCAGGCATGTAGCATTTGAAACAAAACAGTGTATAAAATATCAATTGAAAAAATATTGTGAAATAAAAGACAAAAACCCTGAAAATTTAATATTTGACTTAAAGTGCCACGCCCATATTTTTGTCACATACGTTTGAACAATTGCCTTTTGTGTAATTTACTAAATTAACCCCCTGATGATGACATTGTGAATAAGACAACGTCGTAACGAGTAAACCGCCGTAAGAAAGCAAGATCCTTAGTGAAATTGTCTTTACTGAAACTTTGTCTTTGATTCTTGGAATGTACATGTTTTTAATTAGATGATTTTTAATTTTCCGCCCTAACATCCAAGCAAATATCTTATTGGACTGATTTGAAATTTTCTAAAAGGTGGGTAAGAACATGCAACGTGAACCAGGAAACGTGAAGGGGACAAAATGATGTATTATTCTTTACTGATATAAATATTTATAAAAAAAGTAAATAAGCTATTCATAGAAATCGACTATCATGAATGAAAAAAGAATGCCCTCCGAGCCAGTCTGCCAGGGTTTCATGACTAACAATGTAACACGTAAAAATTCAATGATGTTGTCATAGTTGTAAATTAAAACACTGACAAGTTAATGAAGATCAATTTTGTCTCTATGGACCATGTATTATAAATAGTATCAAATATCCCCTTTTGTTTGTAATAACCCCTTTGTAAGCAAAGGACCGCGAGTTGTATGTAGAATGAATAGGGGGATACGAGGTTTATCATGCAATTCGCTTATGTTTTTCATCCAAAAACACCAATACAGTATAAAACATTTTATTGACTTTAAGATTACACCATATAATCCCAAAAAATCCGTTTATCCTGGGAACTCATTAGAAAAATGACATACATCATTTTCTTTAGAAAGAATTATACTATGCATCGAAGTCAAAATTGCCAGCATAGTATTCAAAAGACATGAGTATAATGATTCCCGTTCACTGGTGATCCACTCGATTACGCTGGTTACCGAAACGGTTCGTTTTGGTAACAAAATGTCGGAACGTCGATACGATTTGCTTTTCCCCTTATTTCACGCTTTGAAGGCAGAATCCCCACGACGTTTTTTCTCACAAACGTATGTCAGTATCATATGTTTTAGAAAATATTCATGTTTGCGAAAAAATAGCTCAGAAGACAACATAATCCTCGATTTAATTCCTCACTTAAGTTACAAAAACGGTTTGGGTTAAAAGTGCAGATCTTAACTGTTTTTCGAAAAACCGTTTATGTAACTTAAGTGAAGAATTAAATCGACGATTCTGTTGTCTTCTGAACTATTTGTTCGCACATATGTACATTTTCTTAAACATATGATACTGATACACGTTTGTGTTAAAAAATGTCGTGGGAATTCTGCCTAAAACGTGTGAAATAAGGAAAAGAGAAAAATCGTACCTTCGACGTTCCGACATTTTGTAACCAAAACGAACCGTTTCGGTGACCAGCGTAATCGAGTGGATCACCAGTGCCGTTGCCACCAACTTGTAATTGCAAATCTCCCTTTCTAAAAACAGCTCTGAAGCTGATCGGGTATTTGTAGACAGTAGACTATATACAAAAGTATTGATTCATTGGCTTTGCGTTCACGGATGCATTGTGAAAAACATTTCTAGCTTTATGTCTCCAAAGTTGACAAAGAAAATTGATAAAAATGAAATATAAAAAAATTGAAAAATCGATACTATCGAATATCACTTTTGAAACCATCGAATATCACCTTTAAAGTGATATTCGATGGGTTGGGGATTTTTGGCTTAAATATGATATTTTGATCCGCATATCAAATATATCTACACATGATATTCGACCTATATCCTTGCAACCATGGGATAATTATAGGATATCCTGTGATTTTTAGGAACATCATTTTTATTTACAAGAACGAGTGCATATATCAATATCAGCGAGTAGATTAAAATGATATTCTGAAAAAATCATAGGATGTTCTTATTATCCTACAATTACAAGGAGTGTACTAAATGTATAATATCATTGCAAAATTAATTTCAATCACCGACACGATATCCTCCGCATACTGGTTTTCCGGAGTATATCGTGGCGATATCCTCTGGTTATTCATTTTGCCAGTAGATATCAAATTTATTTTTAATGTTATTATACATTTAGCACACTAAGTGTAGGATAATTATAGAATATCCTATGATTTTGAGGAATATCATTTTTATCCACGAGGTGATATTGATATCTGTACGAGAGAGCCAAGCGAACGAGTGCATATATCAATATCACAGAGTAGATTAAAATGATATTCTGAAAAAAATCATAAAATGTTCTTATTATCCTACACTTACAAGGAGTGTACTAAATCTATAATATCATTGCAAAATGAATTCCATGCCAAATAGAGTCAATTTGGTGGGAAATCAACAAGCGGAGTATATCGTCACATTATCCTACACTTAGTATACTAAATGTATAATAACATTAAAAAATAAATTTGATATTTATTGGCAAAATGAATAACCGGAGGATATCGTGACGATATACTCCGGAAAACCCAATATGCGGAGGATATCGTGACGATATACTCCGGAAAACCCAATATGCGGAGGATATTGTGACGATATACTCCGGAAAACCCAATATGCGGGGGATATCGGTGATATTGATATATGCACTCGTTCGCTTTGCTCTCTCGTGCAGATATCAATATCACCTCGTAGATAAAAATGATATTCCTCAAAATCATAGGATATCCTATAAATATCCTCCGCATATTGGGTTTTCCGGAGTACTAGTATATCGTCACGATATCCTCCGCCCGGGGTATATCATCACGATATCCTCCGGTTACTCATTTTGCCAATAAATATCAAATTTATTTTTTGATGTTATTATACATTTAGTACACTAAGTGTAGGATAATATGTAATATCATATTTTGATCTTATTTATAATATCATTTTTGATGTACGTATCAATTTGTTTGTGCTGTTTATAGACAAAAATACGTTATTTAATAGAGTTGTATACATTTACAGTGTTATTACAAAAAGTAAACGGCTACGAGAGCCCTAGACACTCCCAATACATTTTTATTGTTACCTTTGATTGGGACGTTATGAAGTAAAAATCTTTATTTGATTGGGACTTTATAAAGTAAAAATCTTTATTGCACAACTTATTGGGTTGCTTTAGTTCACCCCTCGTCTATTTTTTGCCTCCAACTATTTCAACTCTCGACAAAAACTCAATTCAAAAACATGTTTAGATTAATAATTTTCCCTTTATTTATTTATGTTTATTTTATCCACCAGAATTGGTGTGTTTACATATGTTATATAAAATATTACATAAGGGGTTGAGATTATTATGTTACATACTATAATAAAAAAAACAATTAAAATGTTTATGTACAACCAATCCCTGGTGTTGACGGACGTCAGGCTACCGCGTTGACGCCGTCAAGTTACTACTATCTGTTACATGCAATAAGAAAAACAAGCTCTCCACCTAATATTTGCCGTTGACGGACGCCAGGCTACCGCGTTGACGCCGTCAAGTTACTACTATCTGTTACATGCAATAAGAAAAACAAGTTCTCCACCTAATATTTGCCGTTGACGGACGTCAGGCTACCGCGTTGACGCCATCAGTTAACCTACACTTTACCTATTACCCTTTAGCTACAATATGATATTGTCCACCTTTCAAGAAACGTGTTTTATATTTTTTTATTTTGTCTAATAATTCATCTATTATATCAAGAACAATCTAATTTTTACTTATATCGAAAAACAGATATAGATGAGAAAGTGACTCTTCAAGTCATATACAATTAAGTCAATAGAGCAGAAAGTATACTTACATATCTTAGTTACTGAAAGCTTGTTATTCCAAATATTATTTCTATAATTGACAAAAGAATATCATAAACTTATGATTTTGAGTTTTATTATCTTCAGTATCACAGGGTTCTTTTTGTCAGTGCCCAATGTTTTCCTGTTGCCGAGTCGCTGTTACTAAGTAACCAATCGATCATGGGTATACATGTACCAATGGCCGAGCAATTTTTCAAACAAAAGCAGAAAGAAGAATGTGCAAAAATCATTACATTGACTGAGCAGAATTCAGGCCTGATACCACATGACCACACGGAACATAATCGATCTTTTACTGCTTATAGGTAAACTACAATGTGTACAGGATTTTTTTCGAACTGACATCATGCACAGATGAGTTAAGTTGTATCGTAAAGTCCGCCGGGTAAAGCCCATGATAATGGTGAACGAATGCATCGGGGCAGGTATTTTATTGCATGCTTTAGGGTGAGGAAAAAGTTATATATTTGTACATGTTAAATACAAATGAGTACAAAAGAGGTCTTCCTAGCGCATTCTCTTTCGAGTCTAGTATCTGGCTCGGTACACAGCTCCCCGACGAGCGTGCCCATGGGTCGTTACACAGTCATATGCAGATGTTCTCCTGCGCATCCGTAGTCCGTACAGGTAAGTAATAAATGTGCAACAAAGACGAGCGACGTTTCATAATAGTTGTATAAGTGGTATTCAATCGAGTGGTTGCCGAATACTCAAATTTTATCATTTTCATAATTTTAATTTTCCTAATGACAAGAAACTACCCATTTGATAACAATATGAAGATAATTTTCCGAAGTTTGATTTTCCAAACCTGACAAAAATTAGGCAATAGTCAAATTAAATGATAAGGCAAAATCACCACTTCAATACAGGATGACACAGAAAATGCCACCAATAAAATGTTGCATATCATTTTTATCTGCAGAATATCTGAATTGTCCTTAGTACATTAAATTAAGCTCCGTGGAGCAATTCCACAAGAAGTTTCAGATGACTTGCTCAACTAGATGCACTTTTATGAGCGTTACAAGATTTGCTCTGAATGTCGTCCATTCCTTGCAGGTACAGCTACGGTAAGGCACAGCTGGATTCTAAACGAAACATTTCCACCCATCTTTTGTAACATTTACTTTGTAAATACTGTTGATTTTTGCTTGTATTTCAATGGAAAAAAGAAGTCCATTGAATTAAATTCAAGATGACATAAAATTGTCATTAATAAAATCATTGTAACTTAAATACAAAATTATGTGACAAAATGTGTTTTTTTGTTCATGAACGTAGGCAGTGGTATCAGACATCGTCTTCTTGGTACCTTATCATAATTTAAGACGTCGAGGATTGATAAAATACCATGATTTAAAGGTAAACAGCGCAAATTTTCAGATTTAGGGCCCTTTACAAAATTGGTTGAAATTGATTTCCATGACCGCTGGTTATATATCATGTAAATAGTTTATATTGTTTGACATCCGCGTTTTCCTTTATATAGTCCCTCCCTATTTATACAGTCATCAAAATACTATACTAATCAATTTATATGTAATTAAAAATATACTAATACTAATGATATAACATCGATCATCTCTTGATTCCACTTTAACGCTAATATAACGTATTCACCGTAGTATTTAACACTGATTGTAAACCACGACATCTTTCTATAATCAGTATTTTCTTGCAAAAATGACAAGCTACTTTTTTCAAGACATGGAGCTTCATTATGAAATATATTTTGATGTGTCAAACTGATGCCGACTAGTACACTCTCTGAAGAAAAATTTAAAAGGAATCTTCGTTTTTCCTTTTCACAAATCAAAATAAGCTACGCAATTTCCAAAGTGTGTATTTAACCAAAGTTTGAAAGTTGAGGTCAACACGAAGTACAAAGCCTAATTTCTAACCATAAGCACACGACGCAGTCTAGGACCACCCCTAAACCTATAGTCAAGGACACAAAAATCACTTCCATTGCTGATCCGTATGCTACATATTTCTACAAACTTATTTTTGGCACCCATTTTGGTGGCCATTTTGGATATTCTAGTATACTTTTATTGACTTCTACAGAGTGTTCCAAAAGTAACAGGACTGGTGCTGGCATTTTGTCAATTCTGTACAGAGTGTCTTCAAATTTTCACGAAATAATTGTACGTAGCTACAACGTTCTACGGTCTGTTTACGAACTTCATGGACTTTCCCGGACGGGGAGTGTGATTTAGAATTTTTAATCGATTCAAAATTCGATGGCGATCATACCGTTCTGCAATCAGGTCATGATGACCTTCTAGACTAAGGGACGCGTTATACGACGTTGCACACCGACGTGGTGCGACCTGAGCGAACTGCGAATGAGATGGACGTATTGAAGACTTTATGAACGAAGTAGCTAATTGTTTTAGACATATTTCCCGACCACAGCCAGATTGAGCCCGTTTTACCACGTTTTCGTGGACTGGCAAGAACGGGTAAGAACTAGTTTGGTGTGATAGGGGGGGGGGGGTTACACCCTGTGTATAGTCTGTCACGTGACTTCATGGATGACGTGTGCGCGAGTGATTCGCATTTTCTTTCGCTTGAGGTTTGTAATCACACTTTTTACATGTTTTAAGATTTTGTATCTCTGTGAAACTTGTCCCGTACCATCAATGTCTGAAGACGATCTAATTCACCAAATATCTCATCCAAGCGTGTCCCGGTTAAAGAGAAATTCGCACTTTTGTGTCTCGCAAAATGACGTGTGCGCGAGTAAATCGAATTTTACGAAGGATGGGTGCGCGAGTATAAAATATTTTTATTCACTTGAGACAATTCTGCAAGCTAAGGCAGAATACAACTCACGTGACATTTGTTTTTGTCATCTTAAAGTAGTATGTTAAAGAATAGTTTGCTATTTTGTAGATGTTTCATGTATGGCACATACATGTCTACGTTTAATGACAATAAATGTTTTGAAATAGCTTGTAGGGCTGTCCGGCATTGCAGGTGAATTAAAATTTGAACCAAAAATTGAATTAAATTTTTGGCGGTCTCATAAAACCGGCAGCATATTCATTTATTGACATCCCATACAAGGGGGGGGGGGGGGGTCAGAGTTGTTATGTGGTTACTCGGCATCCGCCACGATCAGAACCATGTAAGGAATAGTAAGGGGAAGCCCATGATACCAAGTAATATCAAATAATTATAGGAGCTTCTAACTTCTTCCGCATCCCCACCCTTGGTATACGCAGCTGACAAAATGGATCGGTACGGGTCAAAAGCTGGACCGGTACGGGTTAACGGTTTTATTTGAATTTAAAACAGCTATAACTTGCTCAATATTGACTTCTTCGTATCTAAGTTGAAATATATGATCCCTCCGAATGATTTTAAGTACCCCCAAAGTTCACCCGTACAGGTCCAGCTTTTGACCCATACCGGTCCATTTCGTCAGCTGCGTATACCAAGGGTGATCCCACATACTTTGTTTTTACAGACTCAGAAATCAATGTTCGCTATAAATGTAGCAATATAATATGAGCTTTCGTGTACTCAGATCCTCCATTTGTAAAAAACAATTGAAGAACAGCATAATAGAAAGTCAAATACAAAATTGATTTGCGCCCAAAATGGTTTGGGTAATGATTCCCGTCACTACCATGCATTTGTCCCCAAAGCAAGGTATTCTGATGGGAAAAATCTTGATACCTCCCCCTCCCCTACTGAAAATGATTTGAATTTGGTTTAAAAATATATACCCCAAGAACACTTTAAGGTATCATAAATCATTGAGGTAGTTATTAGTTAGAAAACACCGTGCCCTTATAGTATTTATTACAATTCTAGAACAATTTCATGAAACGACTCATAAGGAAATTGTTTTTGTAACTGTTTATACATTTCACTTGTTATTATTAGTTTCAGGTATTTAATATGGATAGCCCAAGCACGAGTGGTTTAGAAACCACTGTCAGAAGTCTAGATGGCTCATTTTTCGATGACTCATTTAATGTGAGCCATGAAGTTGTTCTTACATCGACGCCAATTAAGAAAAATGTTAGACTCGCGCACCCATCCTTCGTAAAATTCGATTTACTCGCGCACACGTCATTTTGCGAGACACAAAAGTGCGAATTTCTCTTTAACCGGGACACGCTTGGATGAGATATTTGGTGAATTAGATCGTCTTCAGACATTGATGGTACGGGACACGTTTCACAGAGATACAAAATCTTAAAACATGTAAAAAGTGTGATTACAAACCTCAAGCGAAAGAAAATGCGAATCACTCGCGCACACGTCATCCATGAAGTCACGTGACAGACTATACCCAGGGTGGTTAGTGTTTAAGAATTTTATATCTTTGTCCCTGATTTAATGCCGATCAACCTCCGGGCTGATCTACCTATGGCCAGATGTCTTCGTTGTAGTTTTCACTACTCATGGTATCTCATGGAACCTTTTGGAGACTTTGATTCCTACTGAGTCCTATATGGTTAACAATAGCTCAGAAAATGTTGAACCATTTGGAGATGATGAAGCCAAATGCTCGGCAAAGTAAGTGGAATGTAACCTGATAAAAAATGCAATAAGTGGACCGATTTTGTCTATACTTGGTGAGAAGATGAACAGCGGCAAATGATTAGTTTTTCATTTACATTAAGTCTAGTCCAATCTGGGAATTAGGATTTCCATTCCAAGCTATTTTGGTACTAAGCTGCCAATAGATTGAATTTGAGTTAAAGACGCAAGTGTTCGGATCAATTGTATTCAATCAGCGCAGATTTATTATTAAGCATCTGACTTTTCCATTACGTGGGTTACTGTTACTGAAGTGTGACTGATGTTAATATGATCAAGTGATCAAAATAACTTATTCTTTTCTTGTCATAATTGACTTGCTTGGCAGGGGACTTTTGGAGATGCTCGGGGGGAGATGGAGCATAAATTAATCAGCATGTCCGGGGACAGGAAGCACAAATTAATGAACATCAACCCTTGATTAGACAAATATGATTTGAGCTAGATGTAGATATAGAACGTATGTATCTGTAGACAAGAGGAAACAATATCATTCCACATTGCCCCCACGTGACCAGCGTAAAGGGAATAGAAGCTAAGTTCCGAATGTCGATTTATCTCCTCAAAAAGACCCCGCCCATGGTTTTGTTTTTATGTCACCACCAAAAGTGGTAACACATTATGGTCTCCAACTTTCTTGTGACGGCGTTCGACAGTTGGCGTTCAGCTTCTGTAACAAACGGCAGGCGGTGACATATTTTGCATGTTAACACCTTGTTGAATGCTAATGATTCTCTTCTCCCTCAGTTAACCTATTAGTCCATTTGTCACCCCCATACATCCAATAGTGATTTAACTGGGTTGCCAACAAAGTTTGTTTGGGGAAAAATTATATAGGGTAATTAGGGAGGCCAGTTTTGAAATATTTAAAACCAACAAAAAGTTCTAAAACCAAGCCCGATGTTTTGTTTAAGAACCTCTATTTTTACTACTGAAAATGGATTCTAGCAATACTATCCAATATGAATCTATTTGTTGAGACTCCATTAACTTAAGTTCTTCTGAGAAAACCTGGAGAAAATGCGGATTTCAGCAAAGGTGCATTGGCTTAACATGAGGCTTATTGACTTAGCATCAGAATACCATCATGTATGTCCACCTTCTTTGCATATTAATTTTTTCCCCAAAGTTGATTTTTTGGCAACCCAGCTAAATCACTTCATAACCCCCTAATGATAATGGTTTCACAGTAAAACCTCGTACTTTTACATATTCATACGTTCAGAAATGACAAATGGACTATACTGACATTCCTGGGGTTAAATGGTTTAAAATGGAAGGAAATCGGATCTGAAGGTCAATTTCATAGGCTACAATATCGAACCTAAAAGATGCCTGCTATAGAATTTACCCACCATGCCCAAAACTGACAAGTTCTAGATTTTCATACCAAGAAACATTGATGCATCAATATAAAAGTGCAAAAAGCTGCCACATGCGCCCACCAATACAAGCTGACGATATTGTATATTTTTGGTACGATAAAAACCAGGTTGATGGGCATGGTTTTTAAACATATTTTAGTTTCAAAACGCATGGAAGGAGTACACTGTAACTTGAATATACTATATGCCCTTTGCTTGGAACTCCTGAAAACAAGGATTAATTTAGAAAAGTCAATAGCAATTTTGAAAATCAGATCTCGTCCTAACATTTTCGTGTGGAAACATTTTACATTAATAGGGAAATGATGTCATGCTGTTTCGTAATCATTTTTCATACGATTATGAGACATTATGAGAGATACAAATGGACATCATATTATTCCCATGGTAAAGATTACATTAATGGATGTTGTATATTACACTGCTTTCGTGACTTGGAAAATGCTGTTCTGAATATAAATTATAGATTGGAAAAGGAGTATGATGAACACGGAAGTTTTATGGTATAATCTCCGATTGATTTTCATTTAGAATAAAATATAAGTATATCTTGTCATGCACTCATATATCAGACTAACATTTATATTGTCATTTATAAAATTCCATATATTACTTAGCATACAAGCCACATTCTATGCAAGGTAATTTCATTTTTGGAATGGTACAGTTTTTCAGAAAAACAATCCTGGAAGAGTATTTGTAAAGGCCCTAGGTGTCGGGATAATGTATTAATGGTGTTTGTTTGCTTGTTGCTTGTCAAGACTACAATTGACAGGGTGGGCCAAAAACGTCCACATTTTCTATTTCTACAAAACATTATCGAAACTGCATGATGATTTCCATAAACCTTTGACAGGATATGCAGGAATCAATTATACAACTATATATTCCTAAAGTGGACACGTTTTTGGCACGCCATGTATATTATATATGACTATTGTTTCCTAAATTGGCCCAATGGCCCACTAAAGCAGGACTGTTACGGCCTCCTTGTTTGATGTGCTACTGTCTTCGTTATCGTGATTCTCACAACCAGGAATCGCCAAATTCAAATTGCTACTACTTGAATTTTCTGGGACACTTGAGGGAACACCATTCGTCGAGGGATTATAAATAGAAAGTTTTTTATAGCATTTTCCAAATCCAATTTTTATATCCTTTGTCCTTAGTGAATAGATGATGGGTAATAACAGTGTTCCAACTAAAGGCGTATACAATGAGATATCCATGGGAACCCCTTGCGTCAACAAGTTCGTTGAAATAATTGAATTCACGTTATATCTCATTACCATATAGGGTACCAGTGTTACGTCAAACGTCAGGAACATAAACACTAACGTTTTAAGTCTCTGGAAACCGTCATTTTTGTTCACGTAGCGTGGAGTTGAACAACATCGGTAGTAACGTAAATACGACACGACGTAAAGAAGTAACGTCACTAATGACAACACCAGTGTAAATATAAACCATACGTAATCCCACGTCATGCACCAGTCCACGTATATATTTACGTCGTATACATGAAGATGACATAGATTAGGTATACCTAACATATAGGACGTTATCCATGCTAATACGAGATATCCTTGAACATTGGCACGTAAACGAAAAAACGCAACGCTACTTTTGCGTCGACGAAGATAAACGACATTGTCGTGAACTCTGACGGAACGCTCATCAACGCGGCGTTTACTTCGTCGGTTGCCTGGTCGTCTGTTTTGATCAGCCAACACCATAAATTGTAGAATACTGAATCCAACTAACACTAATGCAGTGGCGCATCCAAATAGCGCAAAACACGAATGGCAAGCAATTTTGGTTGTCGACGCTATTAGAATCAAACGGTCTAACGCCTCCTTTGTTAGCTGACCCGATTCATTTTTTGCCATTTGCTCAATGTTAGAGTTGGAATAAATGGTGACTATAATGTTGGAATAATATGACACAGATGTCAATATCAGTGTTATACATACGTTTAGATACAACAGATTCTGGCATCTTGTTGTTCCAATCTCACATTTTATCACAAGCATTGAAACTAGGTTAGCAACCAGGGAAAGCACGAATAATGTCGATGCGACTATCACAATACGGTTTCCTAATTCCGCTCCTAAATGTAGTTCGGAGTCGCCATGATTTGTGGAATTAACATAAAACTGATTCTGCACCAGAAACATTTTGAATTTTTCTGTAGTGAGCACTGAATAATCCTATTTCAATATACAGTGATAAATCTGCACTATGGTATTCTGTATGCCTATCGATTCGATGCGTTTTTCTTTTGAAGCTTTCGCAGGTACACTCATAAAGTTCGAGATTTATTTGACAGCGATATATTAAATTGTCTGTCTCCTTTCAACTTTCTACGCTCACTTTGATTGGAAACCGTAACTATCAAGGGGGAAATTGTCTATCAAGTCTACTGCTACGTAATAGTACCTGGGAAAGTAAACCTAATACCTGATGTTCTCTCGTTGAAATCATCCAATACCGCTACGCATATTGACATACTACGATTAAGTTTCCCAAACGTTGTAGTTTTAGAGTCTCGCTTAAGGTTCCTATCATTTGCATTTGTAGACGTAAACAATTAGTAATTTAGGCTAATTAACATCACGGATGAATATGGCTCTATATTACGAGTATGAGCTCTACATTTTGCGTAGGTGCACCTCTAACGCACTTCTCTCCATACGTAGTTGAAACATAATTTTGATATATCGACATCTGTGGAAAACAAAATCATTTTGTATTAGGGGAAGGGGTAGACGAGGAATTTTTTTATGTCACCACCTGCAGTCTCAAACTGCTAGTGTTCGGTGGTTGGTGTTCGGCGTCTATAACAGTGGTAGGCGTCTGTAACAAATAGCAGGTGGTGACATTTTGCATGTTAATGCCTTGTGGATAAATTAATGTTTTCATTTAAGTGAAAATAATTTTCATATTTCGTTTTGATGGCATTAGCCGGCTGCAATTATGGACTTTGTATGTATGTTGTGGAAAATACGGTGGTGTTATTTTAGAAACGTTATCACATATTTTCCAGGAAATCACGAATTCGATAAATATTCAAAGAGCGAATCTCAGATGTAAGAGCTCTGTTTTTATAGACCTCCGGGAGACCCTATAACTCGCAAAACAACAAATACTCAAATTTTATGCGACTCTTAAACATTGACATTAACAACATCAATGATCTCGATCTCCTTTAAAGGCCTGGTCGGAGCCTCGGAGCCTCTAAATACTTTTTATTTCACCCTTAGCCGTGTGGGTGACATTGGCCTTTTAACACAGCACTCTGGCCTCCATAGTCTTTTTAGGGACATCAAAATATCGTCATGTAGTCATGTGGGAGACGATACAAATCTAACCTTTCAGATGACTTTGACCTAAAAACGCGATCGTTCGTTTTTCATATGCACCGAGTTTGAACACGGGAATACGTATCATACGTGTTCAGTCGTTCAGTATGTGATAACAAGTGCTTCTGTTTAAAAAACGCCTGAAATATTATGGAATGACCCTGTTAATGTGCATATTGTGATTAATCATGAACATTTTACTTGTTGAACTAATAAACCAATTTTTTAAAGAATTTCAACATGGCATTATCAATGGAGATTTGGCCAATACCCTTTTTTTAGAAAAGTTGAAAAAGTCATGGGAAATGATTTAATTATTTTTGGGAAAATTCTTGACCAAATTCAAATATGATATTAAAAAGTGGAAAAAGTTGAGCCATTTAGAGGTTTAATACGCAAATCTCTTAAAACCTCACGAAATAATAACGAGCTACGTAGAAACTTCTATATTCATTAACCTATGTAGCTCGTAGAATTGAGTGCTAAATGCCAATAAACATTTCTAGATAATTTCTATCGATAACCATAACAATGAAAACTAATCAAAAATATTGTGAGAGGCAACAAAATGAATATCTGTAATGGGTTGATAATCCGGGGATTATTTATATCGCCAAGATATCAAAGAAATCATTTAGAAATGTATATGGGGCAGTTAAAACTCAATTCTGCGAGATAGTTAATTGATTTTTGAAGCAGTTTCTATAATTGGAGATCTAGACCCTCAAAGTTTGTTTCAAAATCAATGCGCATCTCATCATTGGTACCTTTTACATCGATGCGCTCGATCATGGAATAAATCAGATACGGACAGTCAAAAAAATACTTCAATGGCACCAGACATAGCAGATTTCCCGTTCTGGTTTTTCCTTAATGCCAAACATATTAATTACGAACGGGCAACAGGTACATTGTTTACACCCTGTTCCATTTCGTATTTTGATATTTAAGGTGTTTATTCTTAGAATCAGGACAGAACAGATTTGAAGTGAAGACGGGTCATCTTTGCCCCAAGAGTAATTCATTGCATTACATGAGCTGCTTTGAAAGCAGTGAAGGGGCGATCTTGAAGGATGAAGACGTTTCTCTCCCGGATATCTGTAAACAGAGCTTAATCAAACGCATGGAAATGATGTTGACTCGCGGCAAACACGACTACTTAAAGAATGAGCGCTTAATCAATGTATGAGAGAAAATATGTTAAAAAGCCTAAATTAGTGTATTTGAAACATAGAAAATTTTGAACGAAAGAACCTCTCCCTGTTGTCACTTCTCAAATAATATTCTCCATCGGCCATGTAGGATTATCTGATATAATCCAAACGCAGTAAACGAAATGTATAGGCCTACTAAAGACAGTTTACAGCCACAGTATATTTCGACGGTAAATATTACTTCGCTGAAGTTCTAGTACTGTAATTCCAAGTGATTTTTATAATTCCTGAAAAATGTATCTCTCCTTTCCTTCTGCCCTTGTACACTGTTACTTATGGTCATTCAGAATATGAACAAAATACTGTTTATTCCCCAAGACTTTAGTGCTGTAAATCCTCAAATTATGCGGATGATGCGGAACGATACGATGACGCATACGTACCAGCCTAAATGTATCCATTACACAATTGTGATGCGTTCCGTTTCTTACCTGCCTTAATGATCTATTGGTATAAAAAAAGAAATCAATGTAATAACTTCTTCCAGAATACAGATGATCCAATTTCTATGGCTCGAACATCAATTAAATATGTAATAATATCCTGACACGGCTGCGGGGGCATAGTGCCCATATCAACGCTTCTCAAATGGCAGCAGATCGATTACTACTAACGAGTAGTCGCAATTAAAAATAAGTTCCGTCTCGGCGTTTAGTGGTTTTTATTGACTCCCTCTTTTTTTCCTAAATCAGCGCTAAATATTGAACGGTTATTTTATTTACTAAAGATGACTACGAGTGGACTGCCAGTAGTGTATCTAGGATGCGATTGTATCAAGAGATGAAGTACATGAAGTCATTCCTCAAGTGCATCGATCTCTCTCAGTTGCTCTCCTCTTATCTCTTAAGCGGATGACAAATCAAGTTTTATTATTTTCAATATTAAGACGGTTGGAAAGTGCGTGCATTCTACTTAAATTAAAAGCAAAAATGTGACAAACGACAAACATACGATTTGTGAATTATCCTTTTACCAGATAAGTTTTCATTTACTGAATTTTAAAGGCCCTTTATAACGTTTAAACCAGTTTGACTTAACAAATGTAATCATTAATCAAAATGTAAAACGTGGAACTTTTTTGGAATTTCAAAAAGTGATTTTTGAAGGACTTGTTGTTCGAAAAATCGTGAATATATTCTAAAACTAAATTTTAGAGGTTATACGTATTTATTAAAAAGTGATAAGCCACACCAATGCATAGCAGTCTTCATCCTGGATGTTTTTAGGGTTAAATTAGCACTGAAAAGTCAAGAGTATTGGTTAATAAATAGGCCTAAGTGAGAAATGAAATCATTCATGCATGAAAGTGGTTCAGAGAAAAATGCATTTCAAATTTTTAGTTCTCATTGAAACCAATGGTATGTGATATTTAAAACGATATTGTTCTTTCCAACCCTAGTTAGACAATCAACATTTAGAAAAGATTGACAAAGACTTTTTTGCTGAAAAGTGTGTCCTTTGTTCAATCTTCTAAATGGAGTTAAAAGATATTGTGTTTTGCACTGTGTAGTGGAATGTTTGAGAATTAAATTTTTTACTTTTAAAACTTTTTCTTCGAGAAATGTCTAGAATAACTTTTCAAATCATGAAAAATAGTTTATGAATGATGAAAGCATATTTTCAAACTTTTCACAGGGCCTTTAATAATTTGCCGCTATTTTATTTGGTTTTTGGTGATTTTCAAAATATTAGCCCCTACATCTGTAACTTACATAAGTGAATTTTACTTTCACACAGTTAAAATCAAAAATATTTACGTACAAAGCAGCAAACATTTCGCCCCCTACAATTCATATAAAATTGAATAAAATGTTACATTCTGATTTCTGAATCATTACAGAATCGTAATGAGTAATTAACTGGAGATACCATGGCCGACCGGCACGCCCTATAGCTAGTGGATGAACTGTATTATCAATGAACCTTGTGACTTGATTTTCCGTGCGGTTATGGCGGAGAAAGACATATAGTTATTATATTTCCGTGTTATATTTAATTAAAGTCTTGGGTTTCCCCTGTACCTGACTTGTGCCATAACGCACGTTAACGTTAATCCACTGTTCTATTTTACAGTATTAAGCGGACAGATACCCGAGCCCATGGTTTCTTGTGTCGGAGACATTTGACAATATCTTGCAAGATGTAATGGCCGTCGAGTAGCAACAGTGTTGTATTTGAAGGAGCTTTTCTATGGTCGCTCTGGAAACGCATAATTCTATACAATAGAGAACTTAAAATGGCATGTGCATTAATTTTATTATATTATTTGAAAGGATGGATGATTTTGAATATCTTTAATTCGGTGCTCGTGTAGGCTCCTTTTTCACCAGGCTGCCTCGGATGGCATTTAAAGGTTCCATTGTGTAGAGTCGTTAATTGATAAGTTATAAAGGTGATTTGGGTTGTTCACGACACTCTTACCAAATTCTATTAGACCGGTAACACCACGTTTTGGAAAGACTCATCTATGTACTCAGGTTATGCATACCACAGATTGGAAACAAGCGTTTCTGTTAACATGTATGGCCAACACAAAAACCTCCATTTTGTTACCATAACATGTGCCATGGGATTATTTAATCGACATTATATATTTCTAATATGATTTATTATCTTGTGCTCCGCTACGATTCATTGTCCAGTGTTTAGTGGTTTAAAAACCTGTAATCCGTAATTAGTTCCTAAATTATTACAACTGGGGTCATTATGTTATGCTTTGCTCTGGCTTAACCTCCCTGGGGTTTATATCATCTGGTGTAATACAAGGATGTTTATTTGCTGCACAGATTCAAACCATATTGACTAAATTCATGGGCTTTCAACTAGCATTCCAATACACAGTATCATACATTGTTGAAGACTATGAGTGTACGTTGGCCTCAGTAGATCTCATTTAGTAGTACACGATTAATAGTATAATATTTATATTGTTTCATCCTATAGCTAGTGAATATGAGCTGTGAAGGGAACTATGAAAACGTGTCAAACTTGAAATTCATTTTAAAATTGTTTAAGAATTTAAGCCTTGGGCTCAATGCATTGTGTGCTGAACCATTCCACCAAGATGTTGTTTCCAAATCTTTGCATGACCCTGCAGGGGGAATGCAAAGTTTAGGAAATAACATCACTGGAGTAGAATGAACAGAAGCAGCCTCAATGCATTGAGTCTTGGGCTTAAATTATTTTCACACATTGCAAAATATTTTCTATAAAATCACCTAAAAGATACAAAATCACTAAAAGAACATATTTTCAATGAAACCTTTCGCAATGGTCAAGTACCAATTTCAATCTCAATCGCTTAGCAACTGTACACAACAAATGCGTCATGGATATTTCACACACTGTTCATTATGTGAATACTCTGTTCGGATTGGTTGGAATCGGACACACATTGCCTAGCTATATGTGAATACTAATTTAACATCGTCCTAGAAAGTTACTCCAGCCATTTATCATTGATATACTACTGCTGCTAAAACTTCTGCTTCAACGGCATCTTTATGATGATTAAGAGTTTAATCGGATGGAATTTAAATCAAGATATAAAGATGGCAACAGCGGTAAATAAATAACTACAGACTGATTTTTGTTTAAAAATTATTTCTATCGTCCTTCACACAGTTTCACTCTTTGTAAAGAGACAGATACCCACCTTGTGCCGGTGTGAAAGAAATTATGGTCCCCCGGGGATTATGGTCCCCTTCTTAAAGGCCCTTAGCCCCTTACTGGCCCTGATTGTGTATAAGATAATAAGGGAAAGAGGTCACCTTATAAATCAATAGAGAGTAGGACCATAAATTGATAAAACCTCCTTCAGATCTGCCGGACTTGTGGCGACCCCGGGATATTCGCCACTTGGGAGAGTTGCTTTTCGTCCAATGTAAAATAGCGCCACCTGGCAAAAATAAAATGTTGGTCTAGATTTAGTGAATGTGGAGTTATTTTCATCAAATTTGGTAAGTTAGATTATGATTGATGAGTTTCTCATTGTATGTCAATCATTCATATACTAAGCTTCGAATTAGAGAGGTTGTTGATCCAAAAATTCTTACTTATTCTGTTTGTGAGACTGGAAATGAAAATAAAAAAAATTCAAAATCAAAAAGAAACTTTCGAACTCGAAGAAAGTTACACATGCTATCTATTGCAAGACTTATGCCTGGCACAACCGTCACCATGTTATTAAATGTTTTTAAGTTTCGCGAGGATCCTGTCATGACCGTGGTATTGTTATCGTGAAAGCCTGGTATAACCGTGACAATATTATATTATATTGCATGGCCTGTCTAGTTCAACGTCGTTAAACTCAATAACGGCGTTCTTTATTATTAGGAATTTTTTTGGGGCCGTTATTGAGTTTAACCTCCTTACTATTCTTTCCTTTGATGCAAGTTCTGAATCCATCGAAACCATTTTTCCGCGATAACGTGCAACTGATACTTGACAATAATATAAAAACACATAACATCAAGCGATTTAACACAATATTTTTGTGTTAAATGTTCATTTATACGAGTAAAATGAGGCTACACTTACCAATCTCTAAAGTGACATTTCCGCATGTCCTTCATTGTGTCTGTTCGTCTGAGTGTCCCGGATCGTAAAATTAAACTACCAGCGAAACGAAATTGCTGTCAAATAGATTCATAATTATTATCGCGATTACTCGGGATAAAAAGATCAATTTTGAGGATAACAGGTATCTGTGATTAATTTATATAGCGCGTGTATACACGCAAAATAGTTATTAATTGCAAACCCACTGTCTCCAATATTTTCGTAATTATGCATCAATAGGGTCTAAGGGGGATACGGGACGGGGTGTATGTGTTTATAAGGTATGTATGCATGTTTGAATCACATTCTTTGTGTAATATTGCCATGTTTTCAGGGTTTAATTTGTTCCGCTTGTCGAAACCTGCTGAACGATTAAATTAACGCATCAAAGGCAAAATGGTCATGGAGGTTAGACCTAGCCGGGCCATAACACATGTCAGATAAGAAACGAGGCCCGGACTAGGTCTAATGTTGTTGGACTATGGCCTGTCAGGACCTACCCTGCGTGCAGAGTCTAGTAAACCTACACTCTGCCTAGTAGAGACCATTTTACAGTTTAGTAGCCCTGCCCCCAAAACAGGTATTGGTGACAGTTTGGGTAAATCACATTTGACCTATGTGCTGACCTTCCACCAATCAGTGAGCTTGAAGAAACATACGCCAAATGCGTTTTAATTAAATATGCTTACAGTATGTCATTGGTCAATTCCGGGCTCAATGATGACGTCAGAAGAAATGACCATATAAAGACTGATTGGTGCCGTCAGTTCACAGGTTTATTTTAGTTTGAAAGAGTGAAGAAGAAGCTCTCTTTTAAGAAGTGAAGTCAAACGAATGCAAAGGGTAGTCATGGCCATGGTAATGTTAAAGGCTGATATGACCGTGACACAATGTTATATTATCACGGGGGATAAGCAAAACGAGGGCGAAGCCACGGACTGCGACTCGCGTAATTCAAAACGAGGTTACAACGCATTATAGCTGAACAATGGCGGTAAGTCCAAACTTAATTTGGAAGGCATGTTAGGATTTGGGGTAGATTATTGGTTTGGATATTCTACACAATAGCTAGTATGTTCCAGTCGGTGATCAACATATTCATACTCCACCTGCAATGGCATTCTTGGTGCTCGGCTGTCCAATAGTTTAGCATGAACACAAATGAATTCGAAATCTGCCACAAAAAATGTAATTTTGTCAATATTTGTCCCTAATATACCGATTTAAACAAAGGAATCAGAAATGACATCGAATTAATATAATTATTCATATTCTGTTGTTACAATTACATCTTCGTGTGATATTTGGTAAGCGGAAAACGTACAATTACATAGAAAATTGGAATTCATAATAGTCGCAGTCCATCCATCTGACCAACGCAGTCCGCGACTCAGTGTTGCTTTATATCTGAAGCTGAACGCAATCACAGCCAAAGGTAGATAGCACAATGTATGTACAGGTGTGGCCGAAATGGAGCAACTTTGGACAAAATTGAATATAAAGGGCTATTTTAATAGACCTACATCGTGTCTCAATCCATTCTGCAAATATATACAAGCTGTCAAATACAGCTGAAATCATGAATTTATGGTAGCTAACAATATTGATAGACTGTTGGAAAGATCATCCAAAATTACATTAACTCACCAACTCTCCAATTATTTGATATTTTCCTGATATCTTAAATACTAGTTAATGTACCCTTCCCCAACAGCTTTTATTGCATCATCAAAAAGTTAATTGTTTCGCATTTCTACTTCTTATAAAAAGTCTCACCACTATCCAATTATCTATATATTTAACCCTATCCACAAATTGGTTTGTAATAAACATATTACGTTGTCATCTTGCGCTCGACTGTTCTGCCAAATACGCTATTGAATTGCCATATTTCTAGGTCTTAAACGATACAATATAGCAATTTGGGACATTGATTCAGGTAATAGATATATGTTAATCAACGTCACTTTGAATGATAATCTGGATACTGACTTTCTTTTCCTGAAACAATAATAGCGTAGGAATATAGTTTACACTATCTTATTTATTTCGTGTTCGCGGCTGGACTGCGTTGCTTAGAATATCAATGGAGGCTGTGTTGCGTTGTTGAAATAGCTTTGTTTACTGGACTGCGTCCACTATGAATTCGCAGTTTGAATCTAATTTTCTCCTCATGAACACATTCTATTATCAAATCATTTTCACGAATTATACTCGGAGCCTCAACTAACCTTTAGATATCAGAAACGTGTTAAAACTCCTTTCAAATGTATAGTAAATTAAATAATATGCACATATTTTACAGGTAAAATCAGAACTTTGCTACTGTTTTAGCTTGATCTGGACAACTGCTTATTTTCTTATCTACAGACCAACAGTAGATACAGAGTAATATTTTGGTCACCGATTAGACACTGCGATAGCATTTAAAATACCTGGATTTCTCTATTTTGTCGGAAGAAGCAGAAGGCACTGCCGGATGTCCCTCCATTTTGGCGCTGGGCTGCGGTGTAAAGTTACGCGAGTCGCAGTCCATGGCTTCGCCCTCGTTTTGCTTATCCCCCGTGATTATATTGCAAGGCCTGTCATGACTGTGGTAATGTTCATGTTCTTGATTTCGATTAGAATTATAGTTTGTATAAATGAATTATGAGTTTAAGTAGTAGTACATGTAGTTGTAGTCTAGACTTATATATTTAAGATAGATAAACAATGAAATTTTTCATTACAGTATGCTCATGCTACTAAATGTCACTTATAACCATTGTCACAGTCATAGTTACACAGTCATGACAGGCCTTGCAACCATTGTCACAGCCATATCAGGCTTTAACATTACCACAGACATGACAGGCCTTGCAACTATTGTCATGGTCATATCAGGCTTTGACACTACCACGGTCAAGTCAGACCTTGCAGCAATATAATATAACATTGTCATGGTCATATCAGGCTTTAACATTACCAGGGTCATGACAGGCCATGCAATATAATATAATGTTGTCATGGTTATACCAGGCTATCACGATAACACTACCACGCCACGGTCATAGCAGGATCCTTGCAAAACTTAAAAACACTTAATAACATGGCGACAGTTGTGCCAGGCATAAGTCTTGCAACAGATAAGGTCTCGAAAGTTATGCTTATAACTATTGAGGGCTGAGAAAACCATAAAATAATGAGTTTTGGAACAATTTGATCAGTTGGATTCCATTTTATTAATAAAATACAAATACACTTTCGCTAAAGTAAAAATCTAATCAAATGTGAAAGTGCTCTAATAGATCTAACCATGGGCTCTATCAGAGTGGTAGAGCCCATGATCTAACGAAAGTCAAAGGTATTTGGCTGTTGTTAGGAATTCCCCAAAACAAATGTCACAATGAATATATGGCTTCATATCATCCAACGCATATTGATGTAATACTTTTAGCACGCTCTTGTAGAAATCCAATGTACTGTGATGTCATTACCCTAACAAGGATAGCTGGAGTGGAGAAACCCCAAACTGTTAGATCTAGTGGATTCTCCAAATTATTTTCCATTTATATAAAAAATTAACTTTAACATAAGCGTTAAGTTGCCTTTGTACTTAACAGAAAGTGACAAAACAAATGGCATTTTTAGACATTTTTTTGAAGATAAAACAGTGCTCTTTTGGCCTCCAGCCAATTCAAATAGTTCCAAATATCATTTACAAGACCAGGATCGCAATGTACATGGTCAGAATGACCCTAAACATGATGAAATAACTTTTTAGCCCTCTGAAAATGTGACTGGAAATAGCTGTTTATGTTTTTACACCTGCACGCTAAATAAAACAATGACACCATCGGAAATATTGTTCTTTGTCATTGCTTTAATGGTCAGTATACTGAGTATAGTCAAGAAAAGCTTGTACAATGAACAACAAAATTTGGAAACGAGTACTATAGATTTGCTTTCGGACACTGAACCGAATGACCTAGATAATAGCGACACATCTTCTTTGGTCAACTGCTCAGTTGTTTGTGGGTTTTCATCATAACTCTAAAATGCAATTTGAAGATGAGTTCTTTTATTCTGTTGTTACATCAATGTTGCAGTTTGCAGTGTGGTTAGATTGGAATGAAAGTGTTGAAAGTCGAATTAAATTATTTTTTCCAATATGGCAACTAGTCAACTGATCATGTGACCTTCTGTTCGGGATTATTTTCTCACTTTTCAATCATCGTTTTCACCACACTTTGAATCAATACAATGAAAATTATATATGTTATATTAAGATGAATACAAGATCAATCATTTCTGATAATTTTTTCTGTACTCCCATACGGGAATATGAACGAATATATCGATCAAAAATAGGTGTCAAAATCCTCATGTTAAACTTATGGGGGAAAACAAGGAAGTATGAATTTGTTCCTCTGCGATCTGCATCATGGGAAATATTTTGACCTTATGAGGAAAATCGTTCACGTCTCCTCTTTTGAAGAGAGAACCACAAATTCGAGAAAAACAGATCTTTTTATGGTGATTTCAGTGGTATTTGTACAATGGCATAACTACTACAAATGAATTTTTAGAGCGCTGAGACCGAAATTTTCCAGAAAATCCCACACATCTCCTTTAAGTTATAAATCCATTGTATGTATTAATTTTTTCATTTTGCTGCCCCCACCTAGGACCTAGGTAGATTACCAACCAACCACCACACCATGTTGGGTCTGATTTTTGTAAATACTTCAAATAAGTCAAATGAAGTAGAAACAGTTTAGAACTACACCAATAGCGATATACTGTAGCTCAATAATAGTGTCTACATGAGCATGTTTACTACATGTGTGCCTGTCATCGCAGAACTTAGGAAATGATAGCAAACGCGAGTTACAATTAATGGGTGCTTATATCACGAAAATTAACCTGACTTGCTATAATTTGTTGGAAATTGAACCATTATATGAACAGGTGTATTTTGATTTATAACATGATCCCTGTGATAATACAGATGTAGTTGTAAATAGCACATTGATAAAGATTATATTGAGGTTTCTACCAGGCTCCTGTGTACATCCTGTAAACATTACTGGATATATCCTGTTCATTTCCCTCTCAGGACTTTATGAAATTTAATTGTGTTTCATATCTTATCATTTCATCATTTGTTTATGAATTATCATGGTATAAAAAGGTTTTGCAATACTGTTTGAAGTTCATCTTTAGAGAGCAATTTTGTACTTTTATGTTGGTTGTATTTTCTTCCGGGGAGAACACCGTAGTTTTTTTTTATTCAAAGGGTTTATTCCATAAATACAAACAAATATACATGTACAATGAATAGCCAGGGTTGGGGCAAATTGCCTTTCGGCATTTCATGTCCCTGAAGAGTGTAATTTCTCAACCAACCCTTAGTCTGAATTCTCAAATATTTTTTGTAGATTGATAATGTCTTCAAGTGATGGTGATTTTCTTGAACCTGTGGTGAAGAGAAAAAGGAAGACACCACGAAGAACAAGACGCAGAAGTGAAGTTCTCAAGACTACAAGTACAGCAAAAAGTAAGAATATGCAAACGCACAAAGCACAAAATCATTAGGACTTGCATTAGGTTTGAAAATTTGTGAGTCCCAAGGATGCAATTTTTTTAAAAAGTGTGTCCTTCCAAAAAAAGTGTGTCCCCCATTACAAGCCTGTTTTGAGGTATAACCTTATTTTAAAAGCAGTTTTCACCTCTAGGTTAAGTTTGTCAGTTGGCAACTCAAGAGTTCAAGCGGACTCTCACAATGTTCTTTGAAACTTAGTTCAAGCTGACTCTCTCAAACTTAAGTTCAAACTGACTCTCACAATGTTCAAACTGACTCTCATTATGTTCTTTAGAGTTCAAACTTGAGAGTTCAAGCTGACTCTCACAATGTTCTTTAGAGTTCAAACTGACTCTCACAATGTTCTTTAGAGTTCAAACTTGAGAGTTCAAGCTGACTCTCACAATGTTCTTTCGAGCTTAAACTTAACATCAAACTGATACTCACAATTTTAAAACCAGTGCTGTAGTATTGGCCTCAAAATTTTTGTGTCCTAAAAACAGAAATATTTTCAATTTTTGTGTCCTCCAATTTTTTGTGGCCTTAACATGTATAGGACAGAGTTAATGCGAGCCCTGCCGTGTAATAGAGACCCTTTGAATCACTAAAGGCAATATTTGGAAAACAGTAAACAATTTACTCTTATGTGACAAATCCAACTTTAGGCATTAAGGGATTGAGAGGATTAGTGCTAGTCAAAAACTTGTCTGGAAAGTAGCCTCCATATTTTGCTCTATTTACCATCTTTTATTGATCCTGAGATGTCATCAATGACAATTCTGTCCCAAGGAATTCAGAGAGGAGCATGCAGTCTTTCCACTGAGATGTACTTTTGAATAAATAGATGCCATATATAGTTCAAACATGGACCAAATATAAATTGATCTTGTCTTATAAATATCTTTGCCACCTGCCATTTGAAATTAGGAAAAGATATCATAACAATTTTGGAATAGTTATAGCTCTGATGTGACCTGTTATTAGTCTTCTCTGGTGTCAAAATGAAAGATTGAGTAGGCCTATGTATCATACATTGAAAATACTGTAATAGGGCAATGAAATTAAAGTCTCACAAAGGTTGGCAAGTATGCATCAAGTAAATTTTTGACTAAGTTGCAATTGGCATCATTTAATTATTGGTAACAACGAACTACTTCTTCTCATTCCTATTTGTGTTCAGCTTGGAAAAGTGAGGTTATATTAACTTTTGATTGTTTTGATTTATTGCTGTTAATCTAGAACCATTTGTTTGTTATGATACCAGTTATGTTACATTGAACATCTTGGCAATTAACATGGTGATCTGTATGCAATTAAACATTTCTAAAATCAACATGGTAAGATAACTGAAAAGAAGAGCTGGTGGTACTACTGAATACTTGTTTAATGTAACCAAAATTAATGAGAATAGCTTGAGGAGGTGGGCCTAGCGACTGTTGACTTGGGATGATATATGACCTTACTCTGAAGAATTGTAATCTTGGATTAATGATGTGCAAATATGTTTTCATATTTTCCAGGTGCAAAAAGTTAATTCTGACTGAACAAAATCAACAATGAAATATAAATCTGTTTCAGTGCTAATTAGTCAATTATCAATATTTAGAGGATGTACATTTCAAAAACTATATTGTAATTTGTGTTTTAATGATTTTAATAAGTGTATTTTTGAGTTTATGACTTAATGGCCTAAATGAGAGCCGTGAGCAGTTCTCTGTGATGATGTCAACCAGACTATAGTCCATATAATCACTAAATTCTTGCAATCACAAATTATCAACAAAATTGGGATTTTGGGGAACTTTACAACTTTTTCTAAACAATATTGGCAGAAATCTATAATTATATCAAATTTTAGGGAATTATTTCACACATATTTTCGGCCAATTTTTATAAATGGTTATTCTTGAGATATCTTCAGAACCTTGTTGCATGGACTGGAGTCAAACAGAAACTATAAGTAACTTATTGTTCGAAACTTTGAATTTTTAGAAATAAATGAAATTTTAATTAAAACTTGCTTTTGTGTTTTTGTGATGAGAACTTACCCTTTGCATTCGTTTGACTTCACTTCTTAAAAGAGAGCTTCGTCTTCACTCTTTCAAACTAAAATAAACCTGTGAACTCACCGCGCCAATCAGTGTTCGTCGGCCAAATTTGACCGACGTTCTATATATGGTTATTCCTTCTGACGTCATCGTTGAGCCCGAAATTGACCAATGACATGCGCATATTTAATTAGAACGCATTTGGCGTATGTTTCTTCAAGCTCGCCGATTGGTGGAAGAAAGGTCAGCGCGTAAGTCACAAAGTGATTTATTACCCAAACTGTCACCGGTACCCGTCGTGGGGGCGGGGCCACTAAACTGTAATATGGTCTCTACTAGGCAGAGTGTAGTTGAACTAGACTCTGCATGCAGGGTAATGAGAACTTTGATTGATGTTTCAGAGGGAGATGGAAGGACAGTCCAATCAATCAATCAACGAAGCAGTCCAGATCTTACAACCACTACAAGGCCTAATCAGTGGAGCAATACATCCCTGAATGAAGGCAATTCTGGCGCACTGTTGCCACCAGCGGACCTAAATGGTGTGTATATAGTCATTTTCACTTTTTCAAATTCAGATTTAAATTTATACGAACAAGCTAGATTCAATTTTTGTTGAATTGTTGACTGAAATTGATAAATTCTCAATATATCTGTGCTTATATTTGCAGCTGGTTCCCAGGACAATCCCCTTAAGATAGATTCAAGTTCTGAGGATGAATTCAAGACTACAAAAGCAATAGTGAACACAAAGAAAGGCTGCAACAAAACATCAACGCTTAAAGGTAACCACAAAATAAACTGCAGTGCTGAAGAACAGAATTATACAGTGTGTAGTTAATCAAAGTTAAACATGTGGAATTCTCCAGATTTTGACATGTTCATCATTATGAAAATATTATTTTGGTTAAATGCAAAGTTTTGGTCTAAATATGCATGAATTTTATCAGTGTCAATGAATGTGATACAATCAATTTCTTCATTTATTTATATTTACAAACAGACTGGATTCAGATTGCAAATTCTGCTAGGATAGTAGTCTTACATCAAGCCTCTGCACCTGTTTTATCTATTTTCATTCCCAAAATCATGTTTTTTCAGACCTTATTTGATTGCTATTTTTACTTCATAAAGTCATGTCATATAAATACATTGTGTGTTGTAGAATCTTGTCATGTGTATTTCCAGGGTCAAAGCCTAAACACAGTTCGGGCAATACAACTTACAATAAGCCTAAAGCAATTGAGAAAACCACCACTCATAAAACAGCTCCGAGATTATCTATATGGAATTTAAGTGACCCCTCATCAAGTGAAGTAGAGGGGCCAGCACGACCAACAAATGAACATGATGATACCACAGGACCTGGATTAACTGGAAAGTCAGATAAACAGCCAAGATCTCCAAACAAGGATGTCCTTTGGACAATTATTGAAAGTAGGGTCCCTAGTTTGCATGGGGATGAAATGGACCAAAGAGACTTTCAAGATGATGAACACAATGGAAATTTTAATGAAGGTCTCACTACAAATGTGCATGATGAAAGCCCAGTTAATTCAAAAATGATCTCAAATCTTGTGACCGAAGCAAATATCATTTATAAGGACCCAAGGACTCAAGGAGCTAGTAAAGATAAAGAGAGAGGGTTGTTACCTTTTAAGAACAAGTTAAAAGCAATAAAAACAAAATCAATTAATACCAGCAGCTTGTCGGAAAAAGAAAATTGCTCAGAAAAGAATGCCCCAGCAACAATGAATGTTTCGAAAATAAAAGGAATTGACATAGAAAATGCTTCTCAGTCACATGTTAAAGATATTAAAGTAGAAAATGGAATAGTGAAATATAAAAATTTATCATTAAAGACATTAACCATACCATTGACATCTGTTATCATGGGAGATACAGAGTCTTTATATTGTAACCCTACAAATATACAAATACAGGAGGCAAATGATACCATGACCAGTGTTGGAGGCCAGAATAGTGCAATGGAAGAATTGGACCATAATGCAATTGTTATTCCAGAAAGTTCTGAGCCTGAAGATAGTGATGCTCCCGGTGAATCAGTAAAAGTCTTAGAACAAAAACGAAGACTTAGTCTCCAATCTGTTGATTTATTTGACAGTGATCCACAACCAACTAAACCAAGTATTAAATCAATAGGAGGAAAAAAGCGAAATTCCACTTCCTCAGAACATACATGTGATAGTGACGCTACAATTAAATCAGCCGATTTAATGAAACTTAAAATGACCAATGATGAAACAAAGAAAGATATTTCTGAACAATATAGCGATCTACTACAAGATATAGACTTTGATATGGAACTCAGTCAAAGTCAAAGTATAATCAGTAGTCAGAATCCAAAACCAAAGCCTGTTACAAAACAGAACTTGAAGGTTAAACCTGTGATATCATCTTCCTTTTTAAAGATTAGTGGGAAGCCTGTTAATGCAAATGAAGGCCAATCTCCCAAATATGTGATTCCAGGTGTGAAATGGAAAGCCACAACAATGACTAAGAGAGATTTCTCAAGTAGCTCTAGTGATTCTCCTGATGATGATGGTACGACTGCATCACTTCTGAAAGATATCAGGGATAGGAAAGATAAACTTGACCATGTCAAGGATGATCATAATATTGATTCTAATACCGGACATCAGATACATCATGCAATAAATAAAACTGGCAAGGAATCCAAAACTTCCAAAGCAAAGTCATTTAGAAAACATAAGAGTGAATCTGGTACAGAAGACCAGGAGGTGTATAACATCAGCTGTGGACTAGATTTAAGTGAGGAATCTGTAAAAAATACGGAAAATTCTGATTCTGATGTGTCACCAAGTAAAGAAATGTTGGAAGATTCTGAGGATGACATTCCACTGCATGAACTGAGTAAATTAAAACAAAATAAAAAGGTGAAGAAACGTCAGGTCAGTGGAAAGAATGATGATTCTGATTTAGACTCAGATATATGGCTCTGTAAGGTCTCGCCCCCTAAAGCCCAATCTAGTCCAAGACGAAAACTCAAGAAAAAACAGAAAATTGCAAGTGTGAAGCCATTAAGATCTCAAGAAAAGAAGGTTCAAGCATCAAAACCTTTATTTTCAAGCTTCTCTGATGAAGACAGTTTCGATATCATTCCTAGGCAGGCACAAACCACAAGAAATAAAAAGAGGCCTGATTATTTCTTTGATACCTCCACGACTGATGTTTCCTTTAATGATGACAACAGAAAAAATGAATCTACTTTTAAGAAAGACAAAGATAATAGCAAACATAAAAGTTCGAAGAAAGCATTAAGTAGGACTTTTGAAGAAACAGTGGTCACAGAGGAAAAAGTTGAAAGTGAAAAGGAGGATAATGTTGGCAAGGAAGAGGCAGCAAAACCTAAATTTTTACTATTTCCTATTTTAAATTCAACAAAATTAAATCCTTCCAAACGAGCAACAACTAAAAAAGAGGTTTTCAAAACTGAAAAAATAAACAGGAGTGTGGACAATAATATAAAAAGAACATCTGATGAAGAGGAAGTTAACCTCATATGTCTGGATAGTGATGACAATGAAAATAAAACGATGCATGCTGACAATGAAACATCTCTTATGGAAATAAAATCTGACACTGAGAAGAAATCTAATACCAAGAAATTGCATATGGAGAAAAAGCCAAGCAATAAGACTTTTCGCATGGAAAAGAAATCTGACAATGAAAATATGGAAATAAAATCTCGCAATGAAAAGAAATCTGATACTGAAAAGATACATATGGAGAAAAAGCCAAGCAATAAGACTTCTTGCATGGAAAAGATATCTGACAATGAAAATATGGAGATAAAATCTCGCAATGAAAAGAAATCTGATACTGAAAAGTTACATATGGAGAAAAAATTAGGCAATAAAATATCTCACATGGAAAAGAAATCTGACAATGAAGATGTATATGACAGTAAAAATCCCCAAACTGAAACATCTTCTGTCAAAACTGATTCCAAGAAACTACTTATTAGTAAAAAGTCAAAGTTGAAATTAGGTGAAATTATCAAATTTGTCACTCTTACCCCTGAAAAAGACAAAATTATAAGCAAAGAAAAGGGTGATAATAAAAGTGATGTCAGTGAGAATGAAAGTACAAACAAGCAAGAAGTTGAGGACAAACAGCTCGTGAATATTGATCACAAGGATCCCCATGAACAAGATGACCTTGCAGATCATATGCAAGAGAATCCTAACACTCTTGATGAGAATATAAATATACATGATGATCTGAGTCTGAGTGATGAAGATGACATTGGTGATGATGGAAATATATTTGATATGTCAATGGAGCATATTAATGAAGATGAAAACAAGGATGGAATTGAGGAAAATGACTCTGACAACACTCTGAATTTAACACAGAGAATGAAGGACTTTGAAAACAATGCATGTGGATCAAACAACTTGACAGATGATAATGTAACTGACATACAAGATATATTCCGCTCATTTTTCACAGTTGAGAACTCATCACCAGAGAAAATAAGAAAAGTTGAAGCAGTGCAGGAAGCAAGTGAAGTACCTCCAAATAACAATGGTAAAACCATGAAAACAATTTCTACAGGTACCATGAAAAATCTAACATCTGACGAGCAAAACCATACTGATAGAAAATTAAAATCCAAAAACAAAATCAAACAGAAAACAAGAAAGGAAAATGAGAAAAATGATAACAATAAAAAACATCCAAAATCAGTAAAAAAGAGAAAAAGAGACCAGAAGAAGCATAAATCTGAAACTCAGGAATCTGGTCAAAAAGGTTTGACTTCTGATATTGATTTAAAAGAGAAAACTTCTGAAAAATCCACGCCTCCTGAGGAGAAAAATATTGACAATGTTGCTTCCCGCTCATGTAGTCCTACCATGTTTTCTGATGGAGATGATGACAGTGTTCATAATAACCTTACACAGATAATCCAAGGTTTGAATTCGCAGGAAAACTCACCTGGAAGGACTATGGTTAAATCCCAAGTGGATAAATCTTTGTCAAAAGTTGTAAATGCAGTGAACTGCCAGGAACAGGAGGTGACAGATAAAATGTCACGTGTACTTGAAACTCCTGAGAAAAGTGGTTGTGATAGTAAAAAGTTGGAGATTTCAAGTCGAGAGTCTAGCATCAACAATGTGTCTATTGAAATAGGAAATCATTTAATAACCCATGATATAACAAGACTTGAACTAAAAGATTCACATGAAAGAAAATCTCTTGAAACTAGTGCTATAGAAAAATCTACTGCTGATACAAGTTTTGATACAATAGAAGATCCTATATCAGTTACCAGGCTAAGACATGTGAGTGCATCAACTCCCATTAAAAAGTTCAATCTTACTCTGAACGATCCAGACATAACAGTGATTGAAAACCTACCAAGTCATAACATAAGTGCAATAGAGCAAGAAACAACAATAGATAATGTTGAGGACAACCTTTGTAATACGAAACCTGTTGAGCCTAAAGTGAATACAAACAAAGAGAGAGATGAAAATGGAGAGGAGACTATACTATTAAATGATACAAACATTGTGAAAAAAGAGTGTGTTGATGATTGGATTGGATACTCCCAAGTTGAGGCTCCTATTGTACTGAGCGATAGTGATGCTGATGAAACAACTGATATCCTTACCAACCTATCCCAAAAACCTTCAATGTTCATCATTGAAGATGAAGAAGATGAGTCCGATGACAATGATGATATATTTGAAGAAATGCATGTCACAGCTTCTCAAAAATCTCCTGAGTATGTCTATATTGATAGTTCTGATGATGATGTTCATACAGTGGATCATGTAATAGAAAAAGGCAAATGTGAGAATGAGCAAGGGGATGCTCGTGGCATTAAAACAGAAGATGAACTCAAAGATCCTAACCAGAATGATCTCAATACTCAAAGTCTCCTTGAAGATCTTGATGATGTTCTTCTAAGTTTAACTCAACAAGTAAGACAGTCAACTGATGAAGAAGATGCAAGTGAAGCTGATGCCAGCCATGATGAAATAGATATTGGTGAAATGTCGAAAGGAATTGATCCTTGCTTTCAAACTGAAAAGTCTACTGAGAAATTTACAGAAAAAAAGATGAACAAACCCAGTGATGATCAAATAAACATTGGAGGAGATTTGAAGGATACTTCCCTTGATAATAATATGAAAAAGGACTTGAATATGTCATCAGATGATGACCTTGCTCTTATTGCAAGTTTGAATGATTATGAGGATCACATGATAGATGATGACAAAGTTCAAATAGTTGAAAAATCCTCGGAAACCCAAAGGGACAAATCCAGAGACAAAAACACCAATCAGAATCATGTATTAAGCTTAAAAGATTCTCTACCTGATATAAGTGCAAAGTCATGCATCAAGGATTCAACAACATCTACAAAAAGAAAGGAAAAATCTGGTGGAAGTTCTGATAGTGATGAAGAAACATTCCGAACATTACTAAAGAAGCCAAAGATTTCACATCCGGTAAAAGAGCCTATATTGAAAAATTTGCCATCCAAAAACCGATTTGGAAGTTCAGCAAAGCAATTCCAAATCCCCAAAAGTAGACATAAATCAGAAGGTACCAAAAAGGCTGTTGCTATTTCCCCCCAGAGATTGAAATCAAAACAAGAAATCAGATTATCAACAAAGTTTTACAACAAAGATTCTAACAAACAAAGCTCATTCAACAAAGATACAAATGAATCGTGGCTTGGAAAACGTAATGAATCAAGACCAAGTGGATCCTTACAAAAGTCTTTGTCATATAAGAAACACACCTCTATCAGAGGCAAAACCTCTTTATCTAAACATAGGAGATCAAATACATCGAATAGTACTTCGCTCACACAGCCAATACATGATGCAAAACAAGCAATGAGGGAGAGAGCTCGCAAAGTGGAACTTGAGAAAAAAGTCCCTAAAGGTACAAACTGATTTTTCAGCATTCTAATTAGCAATTAAGGTCACTAGGTGATATATTAAAGCAATGATTTCAAAAAATAAACAGAAATAGAAAACATTAAAAATATATAAGATACTTCAATATCCTAACTTTTATTGTATTTAGTGATTCGAGCTAATCCTGTGAAGACCAGTGCCACGTCTGTGAGCAGATTCAAATCTCGGAACCTCGGACTTGTGGACAGCATGACTTCACCATCTACAATTAACAACAGAGTCAAGAAACCTGTTAGTAAGGTAAATATCAAGGGTGCATAAGGGTTATTCAATGGGGTGTCTTGGATATAGAGCAAATCTTTCACAAATTGTACATTATTTTCCAGCCAATGAGTAAAGGACTTGATTCAGTCATGGGTAAATAGGTTTTAGCAGAGACGCCATTTATAACAACTTCATTGTAAGTTACTTAATTTAATGCCTTCTTTCATTTCTTTTGTATAATCATATGTCATATTTGTTATGATTATTTCCTTGTTCAGCCTCCTTCAAAGCCTCCAGCTACAGAGAATCGAGATGGCAAAGGCCAAGAGAAGAGTGAACACGTTGTAAAGTCTAAACCTGTTCCCTCCACATCAGCCCCTCATACCAAGGGGAGTAATGCAGTTCCCAGGCCAGTAGATCCTTCTCATCCTCAAGGCCTTAAGTCAATGCCTCCTGGGAATTTACCTCCTGCAAAGACCCCCTTTGACACAAGAAACACTACCAAAGAACTTCTATCAAAGAGGCCTCAAAACTCCATTAATCCTTCAAGAAACCTTCACAGAACCCACCTTGTGGGAGCCACATCTAGAATGCAGAAGGAGAACCGACCATATCCCCCTGCAGTTCCAACTGGACAACCTGCAGCTGCTAGAACCCCTGCTGCTCCAAGTGTTCAACCCCAAGAGAATTTTGATATGTTTCTCTCACATGTGATAGGATGGAATGTGGATTGGCTAGCTCAACAAGGTAAATGTTTAAGATTGACTGTAACACAGTAACGCTGCAAGCTTAAAACATGAAATACTTCAGATGTTATTCATGTGGTCAGAAAAGTACTGAATGACTAATTATTTGAGCTTATCTGACAACCAATATCAATTTCATCAAAATGTTCCTTTTTAAACCAGACACCTCTATGTCCCAATCTAATGATTGGATTACTACTCAACAGCCTTATACTTTATGATTGAATCATCAGCCTCTCAAAATGTACAGTTTTTAAATTTGTAACATTGTTGTAGACCGATGCAAGGACCCACCTCCAGTGGTGGATGAAAAGAAAATCTGGCCGTTATTGGATGTTTATGAATCCTACAGCGATTATTGTGAGCTGATGACCTCTCTATTGCTCCTGGAAACATGGCAAAGTGTATGTATTTCACTGCTATATAACCCTCAAAACGTAAGGTATAAGAGATCCATAAAAGTATAAGGTGCATTGGTCTAAAAGCTGTACATGTAACTTTCATCCAAAATAACCCTTATTATTTAACCAGAAGGGGGGGGGTATCATGATCAAGTATAAGATCCCACAAATCAATATAAGTATAGCGCATTATAACTCTATGTTTTCGTTAGGATTATCAATATTCGTTTTACCATTAAAACATCATCACAATACTTTTCTACTCTATTTTCAGATTTGGAAAGATTGGAAGGAAGGGCAAAGTTCTAATGGAGTGCAAAACCTTGGCATCACCGCAGTATTCCCTTACACTAAACATATCTTCAGCTTTGAGTTACAGTGTAAGTTACTTAAATGTCTATGTTTTTGACTTATCAGGGTTTCATTTCATACACTTATCTTTTAGTGTATAGTAAAAATCCTTGTGTACTCTCCCGTAAGAAACTAGTGAAGGGAGGTTACACAGGCAATCCTCAGCTATTGTCCTGCTTCAGCTACAGTCTTATATGACACCATAAATTATGGTACCATAGGTATATGTACAGCTCACCTATGTGACACTGCAGTAATGTTATTTCAGAGTTTCAATTTTACTGTTATTATTCCAGCTGTAATATCTGAGCAGAATAACAGAAACCAATCTAATATTAGAGAGGGAGACCTGGTTGTATTGAACTACAAGGTGGGACGCTGCAATGAGAAAGTTGAAGAGAAGAGATGTTTTGGTTATGTACTTCGTGCTCAGAAATTTGACAGACGGAAGCATAAACCGCACCATGCTCTTATAGGTAAAAGAAAACACAATTTTGATGATTATTACAAATTATTTTATGTAATATATAAATACTGTTGAAGTAAAGCTAGGTGCAATGAAAGTTTAAAAAATAATAACATCATAAAAACATAACAAAAAACAATTGTTTTTTAACAGTGAGTGAAGATATGTTTCATGTTAATTTATTCAATTTTGCAGCATGGTCAAAGAGTAAATCTGTTTTCACTGGTGAGGATATTTATTATATGATATATACATTACATATACATGATATGCTCATGTTTCTTATGTTACAGAAGCAGGAAAACAACGAGGGTCTGTATTAATGGGCTATGTCATTCAGACCAAGAAAATCTCCCCAAGAAACCATGATACACTGCTAGTAAGAGCAGAGGTATGTCAAACATAGGTTTACTTATTTACTTAGCGGAAATATTCAGAATATTAAGTTCTGAAAATGTTTTTCTCACTTTTGGTTTGAATTGTGAAATGAGAAAAGAAAATCCTTTCCAGAACACTTCTGCAATTGATTCACAATTAAATGTTTTACTTATTAGGTGGTGAGCAATGTGATCAACGTGATGCGTCAAGTGCGGGCACTGAACAGTCTATCACAACATGTTTTATGTCCACATATACTTAAACCAACACATCTACCCATCTTTGGAGAAAGAGTTCTAACAACTAACAAGGCTCTGGAGGTACATTTTTTGTCTTAGGTTGTGCAAAATTTAAATTGTGAAACAATAAATAATGCAACACAAGCATAGCTAAATATAAACTTTGACCACTTTCAATTTTTGATCTCAACATAAATATTGGAACACAAAGATAGAGCCTCATATGATTTATGACATTCCACCATTAGTGAATTGTTTTTTAAAACTGCATACATTTTAATGTATTGCGTAGAGTTTGGAAGTCCTAGTTAAAGGTCATTTTGCTAATTAAGAAGTTTGAAAATCATCAGTTCCATATCACCACATTTGCAAAATATCTTTCATGAACAAGTTTTAAAAAAAGGTTTTAACTTTGCATTTGTAGGTAAAGAATAAAGGTAATATATTAAGACAATTTCTGATACAAATCTCTGTTTTCAGGAGAAATTTAATCCTTCTCAAGTGAAAGCCATACAGTGGTGTAGCCATGCTGTACTTCAACCTAATAACATACCTAGACTATGCCTTTTACAAGGCCCCCCTGGGACTGGGAAGTCTCACACCATTGTGGGCCTCATAAAACACATCTTAAGGGTAAGTTTCACACCATTGTGGGCCTCATAAAACACATCTTAGGGGTAAGTCTTACACCGTTGTGGGCCTCATGAAATACATCTTAGGGTAAGTCTTACGCCATTGTGGGCCTCATAAAACACATCTTAGGGGTAAGTCTTACACCATTGTGGGCCTCATAAAACACATCTTAAAGGTAATTCTCACACCTTTGTGGGCCGCATAAAATACATCTTAAGGGTAAGTTCCACACCATTGTGGGCCTCATAAAACACATCTTAGGGGTAAGTCTTACACAGCTGTGGGCCTCATAAAACACATCTTAGTGGTAAGTCGTACACCATTGTTGGCCTCATAAAATACATCTTAGTGGTAAGTTTCACACCGTTGTTGGCCTCATAAAACACATCTTAGGGGTAAGTCTTACACCAATGTGGGCCTCATAAAACACATCTTAAGGGTAAGTCTTACACCAATGTGGGCCTCATAAAACAGTCTCACACCATTATGGAACTCATAAATACATCATAGGTGTAAGTTTGAAAGAAACAATTGTGGAAATAGTGATACATCATTTATTTGACTCTCGTTTCAGACTAAACGTCCATCTGAAAGCCAACCAATCAGGATCCTGATATGTGCCCCATCTAATGGTGCGATAGATGAACTCATGAGACGAATAATTGATGAAGTCAGAATTACCAAAAATAGTAAAAGTGAGTCTTTAATGTTTACAGTTAGTTGATACCTCATTATAACCATGAATTTTAATTCTTAAAAAGTTTTATAATAAACACAATGTAAATAATGAGTTTAATGTATAGAATAGATGTCAGTGCAAGCAATATTGTTTTTTATGATTAAATGATTTAAAATTTAGTCAATTAGTATTTTTTATACAGTGAACACTGTCATACTGAAAAATATGTTAGTCCAATGAATTTCTATTAGAGTTTAGTGGAACTTTCTGCATAGTTTACTATGATATCCTAATGGGGCAGCTATGGTGAAAGTAGCTAGATATAGTGGCTTAAACAGTAATATTGACTCCTGTACATTGTACTCAACTAGGTGATGTCATTAAGTTGAAGCCTGTCAGGGTGGGTAATGTAAACAGTGTACATCCGGCCATTCAGCAGTATACCCTAGATGCTGTTACACAGAAGCATATCAAAAGCTGTAAGTGAAACATCAATGACAATTAAATCACATGAGAAGTGTGCATACTGGCATTAAATATTCAAATTGAGAGATAATTTGGAAAAGCCTGATGTGATTCAGATTTAAGATTTGTTTGTTGGGATTCACTGCTCTTCAGAGTTGATATTTTTATGTCACCACCAGAAATGGTGACATATTATTAAAGTATCCAACTTTCTGTAGATGGTGTTTGGTGGTTGGTGTTTGGCAATTGGCATCTGTAACAAATGGCAGGTGGTGACATTTTACATGTTTATGCCTTGTTTTGTTTTCTATGGAGATCTCTTTCCAAACCAAAGTTGATCCATAGAGATTTTCTCAATGCTCTTTCATATTCATCCTAATAGGTCATGCCTCATCTGTGCCAGGGAGTGTTTACGAAGGCATCTCTACATTGAAGGTGAAAATTGCAAATCTTGGGAAGTCCGAAGAGAATTATCGTAAGGCCAAGAATACAAAACAGGTAATTAGTCATGCTAGTTAACAGATCTGTGCTTGTGTCTAAATGACTCTTAATAGGCTCATGTTTATCATTGTCATATCTGAGAGAACATTTCTTTGAGACAACCTTTAAGATGCTAAATACTTTCAACCTCTCATTGAGTAAAGACACAAACAAAACCATTTTGCTAGACTTTCCATCAGCTAAACATTGCAAAATATACTGCCTCAGTATGTATTATGTTAGATTAAAAGCTGAGCCTGAAATGCCTCTATCTGTAATTGGAAAGCTCTAATGTACCAAAATGATTATTGAAAAATAAGTATTGATGACTGATAAAAAAGAGAATATTTCCTTAGGAAATCATTTAGGTACATGTAATATCAACACTGGAAGACATTATATATTATGATTTTTTATACAGGTAAGTTGTGTTTTTATAAAGAGAATAAAAACATGTATTTAAAGGGGCGTTTAATGTACTTACATCTCTGCCGGATGGTTCATAAGCTATGTTACAGAGATTTAGTTTGTATGTAATCCCAATGTTTCTTTGCAGGCCAACAAAGTACAGTTGGAGAGAAACAATCTGTTGAAGGAAAAGGCAGCCCTGGACAAGAAGGTTGAACAGGTATATATGGTTGTTCAAATTCTTGCCTATTAGACAGGAAATGACAGCCCTTAAGTCATTATCGTTTGTTTAGAAAATAATAAGCTAATTATACTTTCTTAGAGACTTCCTCCTTGAGTTATGACATCAGAGAATCTTAATATCCTATAACCTACCCTTAATGTTAGTCATATTAATATAATATATGACTTATTGTCCTTGTGTTTTGGAAATGTCTCTAACGTACACATTTCTTAAAATGGAATCTTCAAAGTTTCTACTTTGAAAGTGGTCTTCTCTTATTTTAAAAGTAATAGCTATCAATTAACATCAGAAGTTTATCTAAGACTAGGGTTAGAATAATGTCACATTTTATTTTTCTAAATTGTAGCACAGAGTGCTGGTTTGGTCATATTAATGACCAGCAATTCGATGGTTACATTATACTTAAACAACTGACAACATCATGCATGTATTGCAGATACTGCTTGAACAAATGAGGAGACTAACACCTCAAGAGGAGAACAGGAAACGAGAGGAGGTCCTACAGGGTGCAAATATTGTAGCTTCTACACTGAACTTCTCTGGCTCAGACTCCATCTTGACCACACTGAGAGGGTCACGTCTTGGGAGAAAACACTTGGACCATTTCACTGCAGTAATAGTAGATGAGGTACTTATTTGAAATGAAATTGACATGGTGACTGTCTTTATTTTTAAAAAACATATGTATCTAAGATACTGTATTGAAATGTGAACTTTGGCCTTTCCATTGCTGTCAGTCTGCACAAAATATTCCCAATAGGACCACAAAATCACCCATTGAGATAATTAGTCAAAGAAAAGCAGAAACAGTAGAAAATAAAACTAGTTTATATAGCTGCCGTTCATATACATTACTCTTTATTCCAGGCTTCTCAAACAACAGAGTTGGATTGCTTGGTGCCTCTGATGCATGGATGTTCTAAGTTGATCCTTGTTGGTGATCCGGAACAGCTGCCTGCCACTGTGGTTTCTAAGGTAGTTTAAACAGGGTGCCCCGAACAATTGTATATACAGGGTGATCCCAAAAGCTGTTTGCAATTGTAGTTTCTAAGATATGCATAAACAGGGTGACCCCAAACAACTGTAAATATATACGGGGTGACCAAAACAGCAATTGGAATTTACTGAATTTTAACTGCAATTTTACCTACTTTTGTAGTTTGGCCTACTTATGCTACCTGGCCAATTTTAAAATGAGCCCATTGAATGGTGGCATTTAAGAAATATGTTAAGACTAGTGACACTAAGTAAAACAAATTGCGTATTTGATTTCTGAGGTAGGCCTAGATATGTTCAGGTTGACTACTTTGCATGCAATGTAAATTTTCTTCTGCATTTCAGAAGGCAAGTGATCATAAATTTGGCAAGTCGTTATTTGAGAGGTTATATCGACATTTCAATGACCCACAATTAGCTAGAGACAACCCTGTACTAATGTTAGACACCCAATATAGAATGCATCGTGACATCAACAGGTTCCCTTCACAACATGTCTACAATGGGAGACTCCACACTGACAGGTGAGGTTCATGTACAATAAAACTTGAAAGGTGAGGTTCATGTACAATAAAACTTGAAAGGTGAGATTCATGTACAATAAAACTTGAAAGGTGAGATTTGTATACAATAAAACTTGAAAGGTGAGGTTCATGTACAATAAAACTTGAAAGGTGAGATTCATGTACAATAAAACTTGAAAGGTGAGATTCGTATACAATAAAACTTGAAAGGTGAGGTTCATGTACAATAAAACTTGAAAGGTGAGATTCATGTACAATAAAACTTGAAAGGTGAGATTCATGTACAAAAAAAATTGAAAGGTGAGCTTCATGAACAATAAAACTTGAAAGGTGAGATTCATGTACAATAAAACTTGAAAGGTGGGGTTCATGTACAATAAAACTTGAAAGGTGAGGTTCATGTACAATAAAACTTGAGAGGTGAGATTCGTATACAATAAAACTTGAAAGGTGAGGTTCATGTACAATAAAACTTGAAAGGTGAGATTCATGTACAATAAAACTTGAAAGGTGAGGTTCGTGTACGATAAAACTTGAAAGGTGAGGTTCATGTACAATAAAACTTGAAAGGTGAGATTCGTGTACAATAAAACCTTAAGAATATATAGTATGTATGTATGGAACATATTCCACACTTAGCTGTAAATGTTCCATGTGTCCAGAATTAACATATTGCATGTACTGTAACTTACATGTACGGGGTATAAAATGTATAAGGTCCAATATATTTGGAGCCATAAAAATACTCACTAAGCATTTTGTATTATAATTATTTTAGAAAAATTGCTGCAAAACGTGATGCTTTTCCATTTCAACCATATTTGGTGTTTGATATGACAGAGGGGCAAGAGGAACAATTATCTGGAGGGTATGTATTTCCTTTGTACTAATGTAGTGTCTGTCAAGAATTGAAGGGCAACTGGCCTATTAGTGAATTCATATATCTTTCTTCAATCCAATGCAAAGTAACGTAAAGACAATAGCATTTTATCATTGAAACACTTTAACAAACTTTGAATGGTCCTAAGTTTATTTGTGACAAAATAATAATATAAATACTCTTTGACCAATTAGCAATGATCATATGACTTGATGGACTTCATAAATAGAAGTTTCACTGAATGTTACAATAAAACCAGTATGATAGGAGGTTTATTCCCTGTTCAGAATGATCCATTATTTTGGAATACATGATGGATTTATCTGAAAATGGACAATTCTATTATATTATCCAACAAAGCTGGGATAAGTACCATAACATACACATATTACATATAATACAAAATACCCGGTTCATGAAGTTGCACTTCGTTATTTGGTATAGTATTATTATTACATATTATAACATACCTATGATGATGTTAGTGCAAAGTGTACACAAGACAGCGGGCCAATATAAGTTTTGAAAAGCCTGCGCCCGCTAACTTTCTGATTGGTCAAGGCGCTGACGTCATAACCAATCAATCGAAGATAAAACTGCGCGAGCAATTTTTCTAAACTCATTTCAATCATTTTCAAACCATTTGTTTGTCAATTCTATAAGAAAACGGTACTCTCTGACCAGTCTGCATCATCAAAGGTATGTTATAAATCGTTTATGTCACTATCGTGGCACATATGCCCTCGGTTCTCAGAGATCAATGTCCCTCCCAAGGTCGGGCCATATATCACTGAGACCTCGGACATATATGCCACGATAGTGACATAACCTCTAAACATGTAATGTAATGTTTTAAATGTTTGAATTGTAGATCAACTCGTAACAAAGTGGAAGGAAGCTTTGTAGTAGAACTCTGCAGATACATACTCCAGTGCAAGGCAGGAAAAGATCTCAAAGGCTGTCATATAGGCATCATAACACCATACAGGGGCCAGAAGAGCTTTATACAAGATCAACTGAACAGAAGGTATTTAAAAGGCTTAGACATGGTAGACCTATAATACTATAAAATGAGCTATCTAGATATTTGTTATGACATGTGACCTACACTCCCCTCCATAAGTTTGAAGTTTGGCAACCTTTGCTCCCCCATTGAACTAAATGGGAATGACGATTTTCAAAAATTCATCAAATTTATCATCAATTTTCGACCAATTGTAATTGAGGAAAAAAATTGAGAAAATTTGGAGTTATTGGAAATAAAGTCAAATTACAATTCCATCAATAATATAAGTATTTTCATCACAGGTTAAGTAAATAAAAATTCAAATTTAAAGAGGCTTTAACACATAGTTCAATGGGGAAGCAAAGGTTGCCAAACTTATGGAGGGGAGTGTATGTTCACAACTGTTAAAGTTGAATTTAATGCCCTAGATCCTAATCAGTATGTAAACTACTGTATATATTATTCCAGGAGAGGATGTGAAGATATTGAGGTTAATACAGTGGATGCATTCCAAGGACGGGAAAAGGAAATCGTCATAATGTCCTGCGTCAGAGCGAAAAGTAATACAGGAACAATTGGATTCCTTGCAAACAGACAACGTATGAATGTTGCCCTAACTCGTGCAAAATACGCCCTCTATGTTGTGGGCTCTCTCGAGTCTGTCGCTGTAAGTGAAGACTGGGAGGCTTTGATAAATGATGCTAAACACAGGTTAAAGGTGGTTGAAGTTAATACACACTGGGATCGTGTGTTCAAGAAATGTGTTAAATAAATGTTATTCAAGGAATATAGAATGTTTATGCATATTAGATACTGGGATCATGTGTTCTAGAAATGTGTCAAATAAATGTTATTCAAGGAACATAGAAATTCAATGTTAATGCACATAGACACTGGGATTGTGTGTTCAAGAAATGTGTCAAGTAAATGTTATTCAAGGAACATAGAATGTTTATGCACATAGACACTGGGATTGTGTGTTCAAGAAAAGTGTCAAATAAATGTTATTCAAGGAATATAGAATGTTAAGGCACATAGACACTGGGATCATGTGTTCAAGAAATGTGTCAAGTAAATGTTTTTCAAGGAACATAGAATGATAATGAACAAAGACACTGGGATTGTGTGTTCAAGAAATGTGTCAAATAGATATTATTCAAGGAACATAGAATGATAATGAACATAGACACTGGGATCATGTGTTCAAGAAATGTGTCAAATAAATATTATTCAAGGAACATAGAATGTTAATGCACATAGATACTGGGATTGTTTGTTCAAGAAATGTGTCAAGTAAATGTTTTTCAAGGAACATAAAATGTTAATGAACATAGACACTGCGATCATGTGTTCAAGAAATGTGTCAAAGAAATATCATTCAAGGAACATAGAATGATAATAAACATAGACACTGGGATTGTGTGTTCAAGAAATGTGTCAAATAGATGTTATTCAAGGATCATAGAATGATAATGAACATAGACACTGGGATTGTATGTTCAAGAAATGTGTCAAATAAATATTATTCAAGGAACATAGAATGTTAATGCACTTAGACACTGGGATTGTGTGTTTAAGAAATGTGTCAAATAAATGTTATTCAAGGAATGTAGAAAGTCTATGAACATAGACACTGCGATCGTGCATTCGGGAAATGTGACAAATAACTGTTCAAGGAGTATTGAATATCATATAGAAGGCAGCCTTGTATTGTGCCAAACACTATTTCATATAGTGATTAAGTTGGCAAACTATAGGACGCTGCATTTATCAAGTGTTTGAAGAACTATTTTTCTAAAACTACAAACACATTTTTATTGTCATTCCAACAGCATGGTGATTATGATTCAAGTCATTTTTGCTTGCTGCTTTCTAGAGACCATCAGTCCATCACATAGGCAGTAGTTCCAACGAAAGTCGATCAGTGTAGACATGCCTGACGTTTTGGAATGTTATCCAATATAGAGGTCAATATTATTATTGACAACTAGTCAAGCATTGCTAAAACTGGACATTGTCATGAATGCAGGCAATATAACTGACATGCTCGAAGTGGGGTGTGTTATACTCCATTTTATCTGTCCACAAACTTATATTAAAGGTGCTTGAAAGAATTATCCTGGTGATGTTACTTATAAGTAAAGTGTTTTAAAATTTGATTAAGACAATCTCTATTTGTTGATGCTTGTCTCGTTTCATCGTAGCAAAAACAGCTTCAATTTGTTGTTTATTAACTGTGCAATTTTAGAAATTAAAATTTTAGAACATTTTTTATTAATTTGTATTTTATAAATAAAAGCATTATACTTAGCTGCCTATGTCAGTATGTGTCAAGAGATTTTTGATTTTTATGTTGAATTCAACTTACAACGTGGATATACAATAAATGACTACACATTCTATAAACGGGGTAATAGATTAATAATTAAGCAAGTACAGCCTTTGTAGGATATGTATGACAGTATGACAAATGAATCATACTTTGTTTCTAATTGAAAATTTAAGGAAGTGTGAATATGACATCACACATCACAATTCACACATGACATCAGACTTACATGACATCAGACTTACATTGTATTACTCCGGTTCAAGCCTCTTTCTACACTTAACATAAGGTAGCTTTGTGTTGCAGAAGTGCTCTAAGTTCTACTTATTCAATCCAATGATGAGGGTATTCTCATTTCATATAATATGAGGTATAGATTCACAATGTAAATTACACATTATCCTGGCAGCACATGGCAGATTAAATGAGCCAATTAGTACACGACCCCTCTTCTTCTAGAAACAGCTAAGCATATCTTGCTAAACTTAAACAAAAAATGTATTCAAATGACACAATTCTAAAACAAAGCAGTCAAATAAGCTTAATAAGTAAATAAAATATTATTTTCCCAATTTAATATTCATGACTGATGTTGTTGTTCAATATAGTTCACGTTCCTGCCTATGTTAGAACCAAATGTTATCTTGATGTTGTTAGTTAAACATTCTATTGTAGTCATAGAATGATAGAAGGTATACTGTCTCCCGAAACGTCATTATTTTTATATATAAGTTCAGAGTTTCATCAACAATGCTCGTGTTTAGCTCTAGTCTTGCAATCACTCACTTGTCCGTCCCTCCGTCTGTCTGTCTTTGGACAATAAGTAGCACGTTTCATAACCTGGGTCGATGGGATCCCCGCTTTTTTCAAAATGACCGCCGTTTTAGTCGGGGTAAATTTACTTTTGGACCCTTTACTACATGTACTAGTAGATCTATAAATAATTTCAAGTGTTCTGCGTTGCAAAATCATGTCACTGTAAACAGTAGTTTTATGAAATAGAAGCCAAGATGGGTAGCCGCTAAACCAAGCACCAGCTACGCCTAGAGATAGACTTCCTAGTGACAGTGTAGATAGGGAAATTAGTGTAGTGTTACCTTATATTAGTACTATTGCTCCCAAACTTCAACGCATCTTTCAAGAAGCAGGAGTTAAGACTAGTTTTAAGTCTGTTCAAACCTTACGTCAAATGTTAGTATCACCCAAAGATCCCACCCCCACAGGCGAGAGATCAGGATTAATATACCAAATTGAATGTAAGGACTGTAGTGAACGCTACATAGGTGAAACCGGTAGAGCGATCGATACAAGAATTAAGGAACACAAGGACGCTTTTAGACTGAACAATCCCAATAAATCCGCCATCGCTGAACATATAGTTTCCAAAGCGCATAGGATTAACTGGGAGTACAAAATTCTAGATAGAGAACCCCATTACTTTAAACGGAAAGTAAAGGAAGCACTTCATATTCATACAAGCAAGCCACAACTTAACAGGGACTCTGGATTTAAGGTTTCCCCGGGACTGTTGGAACTACACAGGAGTAAAACCCAAACTAGGTCAAGGGTCAGCCCATTTCCCGCCAATATATCATCTTGACAAAGGTAGTAGCTGCTTCCGAAAGCTCGAAAAAGTAAGTTATTTTGGTTAGTGATTTGAGGAAAGTAGTACAAATTAATTATCTTTACCTAACCGATGAATACATTTGGACATCTTTATTATTATTTTTTTAATACAACGTTCTATCGGCATCTCACCATATTAACAATAAAACAAGCGAAAATGTAACACAGAATTCAAAGATCGCATGCATGTAAGTATTATATAATCAAATGTACACTCGGCGATCAAATTGCATACAAAAAATGTTTTTTCCGAAAATTTTACGCTACAATTGTAGGGCTAAATAAAGTTGCAATCCATATATTTATTTCCTCGCTTTTGTTAAATTGACAGAAATCCACCACAGAGAACTATTTACATGTTTTGTATCGTTGTGATGTTCTTTTTAAAAAACGTGTATATAGTTCTCTGTGAATATATTACTACCAATATCACTTTGACTTTGGACCTCTTTGTTCCGTCAAAATAACTTAGTAGTTTAAGAGTCAAAATGTCACGCGCATGCGCAAATTTTAGTGTCCTTACTAACACGGAAGTAAAATAAATAAAAAACTCAATTTGATTGCACTTTAAACAGCGATTACTTTCATTTTACCACTCGCAATGGTAAGTTTCACAATGTTTATCACATCTCACAATCCACCCGAATCCTCAAGGAAACCTGGGGGGGAGGGGGGGGGGGCGGGTAACGGGCATTTCTCTATTCCCCGACAGCCAATAGGATAGATGCGAGTTGAAATAATTTTGATTTATGTCATTAGCACAGGCTGGTATCGAAATATTTGTCCGCTGTGACGGAGCATGCTATTTTTCATAAAAACACTAAGAATACTTCACGATTTATTTTTTAACTCATATGTTTCGTTGTACCATACAAAATTACTTACTCCATGCAATGGTCAATCATTTGCGGGTAACTTTCACTTCTGTTTGAAGTCCAATTACGCTGGGAAGAAAAGCTATTGAAAATGGCGCCGGAGTATCATACTTCAAAATGTACCATTTCTTGTTTAACTTTCTAATGGCACGATATAGTGACACGATAATATTTACACATGGTTTCAGCATAACTATGAAGGTATAAATGAGATGTTGATGTATTTGGTCTTTTTAATTCTTTTATAAAAAATAATGTTTAATTTTTCTGTCCGCTGTGACGGAGCAGTTGCAAATGTGAATTGTGAAAATGCTCCGTCACAGCGGACAAAAAATATTAATATTATTTTTTATTAAAAAATTAAAAACACCCAATGCATTAATATCTCATTAATACATTCAGAGTTATGCTTAAAACATATGTTAATATTATCGTGTCACTATATCATGCCATTAAAAAGTTAAAAAAGAAATGGTACATTTTAGAGTTTGATACTCTGGCGCCGTTTTCAATAGATTTTACTCCTAGCGTTATTGGACTTCAAACAGAAGTGAAGGTTACACGCAAATGATATATCCATTGCATGGAGTAAGTAATTATCTTTGATATAACGAAACATATGAGTTAAAAAATAAATCGTGAAGCATTCTTAGTGTTTTTATGAAAAATAGCATGCTCCGTCACAGCGGACAAATCTTTCGATACCAGCCTGTGATTAGATATTCAAAATTCAATCAAAGTGATGTCATATTTGAAATCTACATGTAATAGTACATCTAGAAATATGGTTTTCAAAATTGCTTATCAACTTTGAAAATTTAATTTCTGGGAAAATGTGATTTCTAGTTTGGGGATTTCCCCCATTTAATAGACCCCATGTAATAAAATCACAAAAAGAGAAATATCTTTTCTTGTATTGGACAGACAATATTTTCTTTTACTGGACATATTTTAATTTGCATAACTATTAGATATATAAAGGCGATTTGAAAATTGAACCACTAAAACTGATAATATTTAAGTTAAACTGGGAACTTTCTAGTATACCCGCCATGCTATCTGACCCGAATGAGCCACCTGGTGGTGAAAGTGGTAACTACCTACTCGCATCTGAGTTATTAGCAGCTCTGTAGGCCACTAAACGCCAGTAAAAATTAATTCGTCAAAGGTGTTTTTTTAAATGTCAATATTTTCTTCTGAAAAGCTTTCGTGACCTCTTGATCCTTGTCACCATTGTCTTTGATCACTTTCTCGTATGCTAATCCAGTCTCATTAATATTTCTTCTCTTTGCCTTATCTCAGAGATCATAGATACATAAGGTAGGAAGCTAAAATTATATTATACTTACCTCAGTACCTTGCTTCTAACCACGACTAATTTTCTAATAAATAAGACCCAGGCTAGGTTTAACTTTTTGAACTACCATGTGTCGTAGCCATTGTTTTTGATAGACTGGTGAGGCCTAACTGAGATGCTGAAATCAGTCACTTACTACATCAGAGAACCATTTACATATGATTTGTATAGTTTTTTGTGCTTTTTCACTCGTATGGGCTTTATATTCCCAAATGCTTCTTACGTCATCGGCATCAATTGGTCATATCATGGGAAGTATTAGCACTCTCTGTGTTTTGCAAGGTTCCTTTTATCACACTTTGAATAAATTATCCCAAGAAAAAATGATATGACGGAAATTGTTTCATATCTTTGGATGCTAAAGAGAGAATCAGATCTAGCGAGTTAGCTAAACAAAAATTATTTTTGAAAGTTTTTGTTCATATTATTCTTTGTCATGCTTATTTTCTAAAATCCCATATTGCAATACTGTATTCCAGGAAAACTAAAGATTTTACTAAATTACTGTATAATTTTCCAATTTTATGGTTACAATTGTTATTATTTGGGAGAATTAAAACACCCCCCCCCCCTCGTTGTTGCACTTTTAATCCCTAATAATTTCACCAGTCTATAACAATTGCGGAATTTGTAGAGATATGGCAATGGTGATTCTCTTGGACCTGGGGGAGAAGGAAAAAGAAGACACCACAAAGAATAACGCAGATGTGAAGTTTTTAAGACTACTGCAAGTACATCACAAAGTAAGAATATGGTATAAAGGGTAACGTACAAAGCACAAAAATGTAATAGAGATCCCATGAAAGGCAATATTTGAAAAACACAAAATAATTTACACAAGTAAATGTGCCTAATCCCACATTCATCTGCTTGGGTTTGATTTGGAAAATACTAGGGGATGAAAAGTAAGTCTGTTTTGCTCAAGAACATTGAAAAGCATGCATGAGTCACTTTTATTTTTTAAGGGGAAGCTGCAGGGGTAATCCAATGCAACAGGCTAGATCAAACTACCACTACTAAGATGAATACAAACAAAGACGAAAATGAAAATATGAAAATAAAACCTGACAATGAAAAACAATCTGATACTGAAAAGTTACATATGGAGAGAAAGTTAAGCAACAAGAAAGGAATGGAAAATAAATCTGACAATGAAGATATACATGACAGTAAAAAATACCAAACTGAAACATGTTCCATCAAAATTGATTCCAAGAAATTACTAATCAGTAAAAATGTGAAGTTGAAATTAGGTGAAACCCTCCGATCTCTCAATCTTTCACGAGAAAAATACAAAATTAAAAGTAAAGAAAAGTGTCTTAGTGATGAGGATGACATTGATGATGGTGGAAATATATTTGATATGTCAATGGAGGAAATTAATGATGATGAAAACAAGGATGGAAACCTTTATAATATGAAACCCGAAGAGCCTAAATTGAATACAAACAAAGAGAAAGATAAAAATAGAGAGGAGATTGTAGTATTCAATGATAAAAACATTGTGAAGGAAGAGTGTGTTGATGATTGGATTGGATACTCTCAAGTAGAAGCTCCTATTGTACTGGATGAAAGTGATGACGACGAGTCTGATATCCTTACCAATCTATCCCAAAAACCCTCAATGTTCATCAATGAAGATCGAGATAATTTAGATAACAATGATGACATATTTGAAGAAATGCATATCACGGCTCCTCTGAAATCACCTGAGTATATCTACATTGATAACTCTGATGATAATGTTGTTGATACAGTGGAACAAATAACAGAAGAATGTGAGAATGACCAAAAGGACTCTTGTGACATTAAAACTGAAGCTGATTTTAACCAGAATGATCTAAATACTCAAGGTCTCCTTGAATATCTTGATGCTGTTCTTCTAAGTTTATCTCAAGAAATAAGGCAGGCAACTGATGGAAAAAATGGGAGTGAAGCTGATACCCTTCATGATTCAAAAAATATTAGTAAAATGTCGAAAGGAAATGCTCCTTCCATTCAAATTCATGAAAGGTCTACTGGGAAATGTATAGACGAAAAGATGAACAAACCCTGTGATAATCACATAAACATTGGAGGAGACTTGAAGGATACTTCCCTTGACAATAATATGCAAGAGGACTTGAATATTCCATCAGATGATGACCTTGCTCTTATTGCAAGTTTGAATGATTATGAGGATCACATGATAGATGATGACAAAGTTCAAATAGTTGAGAAATCTTTGGAAACCCAAAGGAACAAACCCAGAGATAAAGACACCCAGCAGAATCAGATGTTATGTTTAAATGATTCTCTAGCTGACTTCAGTGCAAGGTCATACATTAAGGATTCAAAATCTACAAAAAGAAAGGAAAAATTTGATGAAGGTTCTTGTAGTGAGAAGAAGCCAAAGATTTCACATCCAGCAAAAGAGCCTTTGAAAAATTTGCCATCCAAAAACCAATTTGATACTTCAGCAAAACAACTCCAAATCCCCCAAAGCAGCCATAAATCAGAAAGTACCAAAAAGACTGTTGCTATTTCTCCCCAGAGGATGAAATCAAAGCAAAAAATCAGATCATTCTCAGAGTCTTTTAACAAAGATTCTCACAAACAAAAATCTTTCAACAACGATACAAAAGAATCATGGCTTGGAAAACATAATGAATCAAGACCAAGTGGATCCTTACAAAAGTCTCGGTCGCATGAAAAACACTCCTCTATAAGGGAAAAAGGTTTATCTAAGCATAGGACTTCAAATTCATTGAATAGTACTTCGCTCACACAGCCAATACATGATGCAAAACAAGCAATGAGGGAGAGACCTTACAAAGTGGAACTTGAGAAAAAAGTCCCTAAAGGTACAAATAGATATTCAATATATTAATTATAATTAATATATTAAGCATTGATTTAAAAAAAATCAAAATATAACAAAATATATACATCGTAGATACTTTCAATATGCAATTTAAGTACGATACTAGTACACGTCAAATACTTTTTTATTATCATTAAGTGATTCGAGCTAATCCTGTGAAGACAAGCGCCACATCTGTGAGCAGATTCAAGTCTCGGAACCTCGGACTTATGGAAAGTTTGAGTTCAACTACTGCAACTAACAAACAAGTAATGAAACCTGATAGTAAGGTAAATATCAAGGAGGATATGTGAGGGGCATTTAATGTCAAAATTTAAATTTAATCATATTTTGTTACATTCAATTCATCTTTATCATTATTGTCTCAGATGTTCATTTTATGTGTTCTAAAAATTTGCTATCATGTTCAACACACCTTTGTGACGTTTACTCCAGTCTAAGAATACATGTACTAATGCCACTCGCATATTTGTTATGATTTTTCTTATATTTGCAGCAGCCTCATTCAAAGCCTCCAGCTACAAAGAATCAAGATGACCAAGGCCAAAAGGAGAGTGAATGCGTCGTAAAGACTAAACCTGTTAATATTCCCTCCACATCAGCCCCTAAGTGTACCAAGGCTAGTAATGCAGTTCCCAAGCCAGTAGATCCTTCTCATCCTCAAGGCCTTAAGTCAATGCCTCCTGGGAATTTACCTCCTGCAAAGACCCCCTTTGACAAAAGGCACACTACCACGGAACCTCAATCAATGAGACCTCAAAGCTCCATTAATGCTTCAAAAAACATTCACAGAACCCATCTTGTTGGAGCCACCTCTAGAATGCAGGAGAAACAACCATATCCCCCTGCTGCTCCAACTGGACAACCCGCAGCTAGGAGACCTCCTTCTGATCCAAATGTTCAACCCCAAGATAATTTTGATGTGTTTCTCTCACATATGATAGGATGGAATGTGGATTGGCTAGCTGAACAAGGTAAATGTTTTAGTTTGACTGTGTTTCTGTCACCGCCAGAAGTGGTTGCATCATAAAGTAAAACTGCAAGCTTAAATCATGAAATACTTCTGTACTTTAACACTTGAGGTATTATGTGTGTGATCAAAAAAGTACTTTCAAGATAATGACTTTGGCTATTGGAGCTTATCTATAAACAAATAGCAATAATTTCTTTCAAATGTTCATTTTTAAAACAAACATCTCTTTGTCCCAATGTAATGATTGGGATTACTACTCAACAGCTCAATTCTTAATGATTCAATCATCTGTCCATCAAAATGAGAAGTATAAAATCTGTAACATTGTTGTAGAACGATGCAAGAAACCACCACCAGTAGTGGATGGGAAGAAAGTCTGGCCATTATTGGATGTTTATGAATCCTACAGAGATTATTGTGAGCTGATGAACTCGCTATTGCTCTTGGAAACATGGCAAAGTGTATGTATTTCCCAGCTATTTAAAGCTGGAGGGGGTATCATGATCCTGTAATAAGACCCTTAAAACATAATTTACAGGAAATCTATAAACATACATGATGCAGCATTACACTTCATGTTTCATTCAAGGACTTATAGCTGGCATTCTCGTAAACCTACAACATTTAGCTTGAGATATCATAATCAGGTATAGTTAGTTACCCTCTATCATAAGATTTAAGATTCCTTAAAAGTATATTGTGAATTGAACTTTATTTTTTATAAGGACTATCAACATTTAATTTTACTATTAAAACAGCATCATTATACTGTTCAACTGTATTTTCAGATTTGGAAAGATTGGAAGGAAGTGCAAAATTCTAATGTGCAAAACCTTGCTATCTCCACAGTGAAATGTGGTTACTCTAAAGATATCTTCAACTTTGAGTTACAGTGTAAGTTACTGTAATGACCCTCGATAGCTACTCAGTGTTGACTGTAGTGGCTGGCTCCTTTGGCCGAATCGGTAGAGCATCAGGCTTGAAAGCGGAAGGTCCTGGGTTCAATTCCCGCACTGGGCATTGAATTTAGTACAATCCCTTTCAGGTCTATTATCCGGCTCGTTACACTACAGCCCCCTGACGGATGTGCCCAAGAGTCGTTACAGTGGTGTCAGAAGTGGGATTGCCCTTGTGAATCAGTTATGACGGGACGTCGTCTTCTAGGGGGGGGGGGTGGTGTAATGACCCTCGATGGCAAGTCGTTACTACAGTCTTGGTTGTAGTAGCTAGCCCCTTTGGTCGAATCGGTAGAGCGTCAGGCTTGGGAACGGAAGGTCCTGGGCTCGACTGGGCATTGAATTTAGCACACTCCCTTTCAGGACTAGTATTCGGCATTTTACACCACGGCTCCCCAGAAGGACGTACTGAAGGGTCGTAACATTACTTTAGAGTCTCTAGATGTCTATGATATCTTTTACTATCAGGTCTAGTCCAAATCATTATGTAATCCTCCATAAGAAACTAGTGAAGAGCTACACAGTCAATCCTCAGCTCCTGAACCGTTTTAGCTACAGCCTTACATAATACCATGAAATATGGTACCATAGGTATAACGTTCTAATGTTATTTCATAGTTTAGATTTTACTGTTATTATTCCAGCCATAATATCTGGAAAAAATAACAGAAACCAATTGAATGTGAGGGAGGGAGACTTGGTCATATTGAACTACAAGGTGGGACGCTGCATTGAGAAAGATGAAGAGAAGAGATGTTTTGGTTATGTCCGTCGTGCTCAGAAGTTAGACAGACAGGAGCATGAAATGCACCATGCTCTTCTAGGTATATTACAAGAAAGCAGAATTTTTATAAATATAGCATGTAAAGTACACTTACCCTAATCTCTGCATCAATTTTTATAACACTAAGTCTTAAGGGGAGGGTAATTTTCCTTTTCTATGCGATTTTGATTACTTGCATGATTTCAATAATGTTGTTATTGTTGTAAACCCTATTCAATTAACTATTCAGAAAAATATTGAAAAGTAAATCAAAGATCACCTAAGGGGTGTAAATTTCTGACATATTGTGATAAATTGTCATTTTTTCAAAACAAAATTTTCTGGTGCCAAAAATGTAACATGTACGCTTTCTAAAACAATAGTTTATTTGCTTTCAAATAAATCTAAAATCATGTTAAAAGCTCTTTTATTACTGAACTTATGTTCTTTCAAAGATAACAGGTATCGCTAAATTCCGTTGAAACCAATGCAACGCGAAATTAAATATTTCAGCAGTTTCAAGTTCAACTTGTTTTTGTCTTTAGCATTCATATTACAAGATGTGCAACAAATGCCAATCGGTAATTTAGTAAGAGAATAGATAAATGTTTGACCTGGTAATTATTCTAATATAATTTCGGTCCATGATTTTGCCAAGCAGCCAACTAGCAACGTCAAATACATCGAATGAGTGAAATTGAAATAATAGTGATGGGGGAGACTAATATAAGAAAAATTATCTAAAATTTTGGAAGAAGGTATCATTATAATTCCGTTACTACAGTTGACATAAACATGCAAAATAATTTCAAAGGTATTCATCAAGTAATTTTTGAAAAAATGTTTTTTTTTCAAACTCGCTCATGAAGAGAACGTTATTCACGAATCAGTAATTTTTATCTTAAAAGAGTCAATAGTGACTCGATTCTCGTGAAATCAAGCATATTGGAAAGAAAATTCAATATGCTAAATAATTATCTATCAAAGCAATAATCATTTTGCATTTTCTACAGTATTCGAGGCAATGTAAATATAAATCATCATGACTGGCTACCTCCAATCACTTTGATTTTTGCGCCAAAAATGTCAGTCATCCGTAGCTCAAGCTAAAAAAATAACGGAGGTGCAAAAGAGGGATAAACCTTGAAAAATAATCACATCTGCTGTAAGGATAATGTGAGTACGAAAAAAAACAGAAAATTATTGTCTTTTTAACAGTTAATGAAACGTTCATTTTCGCAATGTTGCTGCATTAGATTAAATCTATTTCTACTGGTCGAGATATTTATAAAATATAGACATTACATATACATATTTATGATCATGTTTTCTTATGTTATAGAAGCAGGAAAACGACCCGGGTCTGTATTAATGGGCTATGTCATCCAGACGAAGAAAATCTCCCCTAGAGACCATGAAACACAGCTAGTAAGAGCAGAGGTATGTCAAACACAGGTTTACTAAGTTGGAATGTTCAGTAACTTGGGGTTCTAGGATTTTTGTTTTCACCTCAATAGAGTGAAATATTTGTATAATATTCTTTGATATGTTCAAACAGAAATATATTTCATATTCTTGTGAATCCTTGGGATTCAATTTCAGAGGATTTCAGTGAGCATTGTGGTGTATCCTACTATTGATGCATTCTTGTGTGAGAAATATACAGATATCATCCCAGCATCAAAGCTGAAAATCCACTTGCCGTCTTGCCCCCACTTGAAAATGAGAAAAAAAACTGAAAAAATATTTTCCTCAATTTAGGTTAGATAATGATAGAGTTATGTTGTGATAATGAGGATTTTCGCCCACATGAGAGAAATCCTTGTGAGAACATGTGTAATTGATTTATGATTAAATGTTTTATTTGTTAGGTTGTAAGCAATGTTATCAATGTGAAACGTCAAGTGCGGGCACTGAACAGTCTATCACAACATGTTTTATGTCCACATATACTAAAACCAACTAATCTATCCATTTTTGGTGTAAGCGTTCTAACAACTAACAAGGCTTTAGAGGTACATTCATTTTTGTCTTAGGTTGCGCAAAATGTCAATGGTAAAACAATAAATAATATGCAACACAAAGTTAGCTAAGTATAAAGTTTGACCACTTTCAATTTTTGATGTCTACATAATATCAATACATAATATCTAAGCACAAGTACCAAAGGTATGGACCAAAAGTAAAGGCACCTAGTACAAAAAAGCAAACTCTAAGTGTACACCAGTCATAAGAAAAACAACCCCATATATCTCCAAACCTTACTCTAACACTCTACTATACCTTGCATTTGGTGTTCATTAGCAACACATTTGGCTTATTAGTAATAATAATAATAATAATAATAATAATAATAATAATAATAATAATGTATTTGTTTTTATTTGTCTGTTCCTTATAAATGGTTTATCGGTTGAATGTTAGATGTTACTAAGGCCCTTTCAAAAATATACTAAACAATACAATTAGACAAACAAAGTGTATCTTATGCATTTCTAGGTGTTAGGTATAGTAGAGTGTCTAACGTGAAAAGAAAAAATGTCTAATACCCCGCTTTCCAACACAATCTAAGACCAGAACGCCAAGGGACATTTCAATCGTACTGAAGTCATTACAATTACAATACATATTGAAGAAGATAGAGCGTCATGCGATTCATGATAGTCCACCATTAATAAATTGACAATATCAAAGACAACTCCATTTAAAAGTTCTTTTTTCAGGAGAGGTATAATCCTTCTCAAGTGAAAGCAATCCAGTGGTGTAGCCATGCTGTACTACAACCTAATGACATACCCAGACTGTGCCTTCTACAATGCCCTCCTGGGACTGGAAAGTCTTACACCATTGTGGGCCTCATAAAACACATTTTGAGGGTAAGTCTCACACCATTGTGGGCCTCATAAAACAGATTTTATGGGTAAGTCTCATTTCATTTTGGGCCTCTGGTGACCTTGGTGTAAGTTTAGACCATTGCTTTCGAAAAAGTCACAATGTTACAATATTGAAACATCATTTATTTATTTGACATTCGTTTTAGACTAAACGTCCCTCTGAAAACCAACCAATCAGGATCCTGATATGTGCCCCATCTAATGGTGCGATAGATGAGCTCATGAGACGAATAATTGATGAAGTCAGAATTGATGATAATAATAACAGTGAGTTATTTAATGCTTACAGTTACTCAAGAGTCAAGACCATATATATCCATGAATTTAATTCTTAGAAAGTTTTATAAATATCATGTTTTCGTTTAAACAAAATATAAATAATCAGTTGGAGTATAGCACATCCATTCTCAATAACTAGGCACATTTCCATGAGTGAAATGGACCAAAAGTGAAGTTGGTTTAAATAGTTTCAATTTGATGTTTTATTATTTGAATATATGTCAAGTAGCTAAACCGCAAATATCTTCATCAATCTCAAACCCCTTCATGAAAAATTTGCATGTCGAAGCGCATATGATATTATCTTAAAAATGCAAGTCTCTGTCATTAACGTTATAGTGGGGTGTCATATCAAGAGACCTGTATTTTGAGCCAAAGCAATATTCTCATGTTTACTTTTGCATCTAAAAATAAGGATATATTTTGCCTTGATAATGAATCATATATCAGAAATTTTGGAGATATATAATTGAAACAGACTCACATTGAAGACGGAAATCACAGATGAACTTATTATTCCCTTTCACGAACAAATCCTAAGTGCTACACGTCATTTCAATTTTGAAGAAAATCAGTCTAACTACGTTACATTTAGCTTTCTTTTCTGATGATGGATAGTATGAAGAATAAAATGATAGCTAAGTTTTGGTGTTTGACACAGGAGGCATTATTTAATTGAGATTTATATATCATGACACCCTTGGTAACGTATATGATTCAAAAATAGTAACATCGTAGAATCAGTTATATCATTATGAATAATTGCAAAATATCAACTGGTGTTTCTTATATCCTGTTTACACTGAAGTTAAAGCAATAATAACACTTGAAACAGACATAGTCTAACGCCTAATCATGTAACGTAAATGATGGTGAAAGTCACTAAATTCTAAAATAGCTACATTAAAGATAACACCAACCTCAACTATGTATGCAGCACATATGTAATTAAATAAGTGCAACATGCGCTACATGTTTTAAAGAAAAAAAGCAGGCTTAAAGTTACTTTTTCTTTCTTTACACATTTTAAATGCTAAAATCCTTTGTAACGTAAATGATACAAAACTCACATTCGCGGAATCAATACTATTTAGTATAAAATATGTGAGTATCGTCAAGAAGAAGTAACGCTTAGTATCTCCTGATATCATACGATACATAACTACTAAAAACTTAACTTATTCCTCCATTACCTTTACTTTGTCATATATATCCTGGACCAAGTTTGCATCTCAGGACTCAGTTCGAATAGCCTTGGGGTTGGCTTCTCCATTTCAGATAAAATATTAGTATTGGAGATTTTCAGACAAATAATGTCACTTTTTAGAGGAAGAAGACACATTTTGCTTCTCCATAAAATAATTTCCCTATCATTAGTATCTACACTTACAAAAAATATTTAAATCAGCGGTTATCATAAACTGCAGTGACATATTCGCCAACGTGTACCCCAATATCTTCACTGTCAGTATGCATGTCTCTGACATTAACACTCTTGAAAGGTGTTGTTGTATCTTCTTGTATATCCATAAACATGTGTGCAGTTCGGCTTTGACACGATTTATTTGCGTTGACCAAGGTAGCCTATGTCCCTTTGCCTGTGACAACCGTCGGGTACACAGTCCCGTTTTGTTGTCCTCTCGCAAAATTCATGTTTAATGTGTTACTTGATCATGAAACACTGTCATAGCCGCTTGTGTCACAATGATTATTTCGGCATCACTGGGGTCATTAGCTGCCAATAGTATCTTCTCTGATTTTTCTTTTGTTTTTTCTTGCTGTTAGGCTATTTATTTATTCTTAAAACGACCTCTTTATCTTTTCAGATGACATTGCAGCTATTGGGACAATAAAATTATTGAACACGTTCTTTGGCCATGTATGGTCCACCTATTTTGTTTTTTCCTCTCATGATAGTATTTTTGAATTTCTGCACTAGTCTCTCCCATCTACAGAGTGTTCATGTTGATAAATAAATATACCGGTAAAGTTTTAACGGCAAACAAATGTGTGCAGCAGAGTTCATCAACTACGTTACCATCGGTAACGTAAGTTATCATATAAAAACACAGAGCCAGAGCTTCAATACAAAATCAATGATAGAAACGTGTTTTTATGTTCATTTTCACATTTATTCTAACAATGTTTATGCCATAGTTAACATTAAATTAACAACATAAATTCGTTTCACATGAGAGATACTATACAGGGTGTAATATATACCTTAAATTGCGTGGTTTTACTCCGAAAAAGTGGTAGACTTTCTTGATTCAGATTCAAACCAATATGTGAGCTTAAATTTCCCTCGTTATAAACTTTATTCAGAGCTAGGAGTATGGTAATAGTTATTTTCGTACCACAAGGTATCGAAAATGATGGTATAGTAAATGATGCAAACGACACTCTCGCTGCTGTATTGTATTCAAACAAAGTTAAATTGGTTGAACATAGTGATTAATCAGGTACACCCCTACCATACAATTAGTTAATATAACATGAATATGCTCAACTACGTATTGACCGTGGAAACATTGATCACGTAAATGATTTTCTTATCTATAACTTCATGAAAAACTGTGATTATAATTTTCTAATGCCCAAATCTTCACGTTTCCAACAGCAACTTGTACGACTTCCTAACAAGTATTTACATGTGAATCCAGAAAAATATATAGCACATTGAATACATTATTTTTTCACCATCTTTATATAATTCATAGCACAAGGGGGTAAACATAAAAAAAGACTGGCGACATTTGCTTGGGAATATTTTTGGTAAGGTAAAAATGTCAAAATGATCGTTTCTGTCATTTGACTAGAAGCTAGGATCATCTTGTGTATAAGAAAACACTTTATATGGGATGTTACGTTTAAAAAGTTCTTCAATGACACCATACAATCCTGATTTTTGATATGGCGACAGTCACGTAAATTATGAATAGGCATATTCTAGTACATATAATAAAATATGTGTAACTTAGAAATCATATATTACATACGTGCTTGGTAGAGGGTCATATATACTTCTTGTAAACACATCAAAAACTGATGTCAGTAATGTCAATTCTAAGACTGAGCCTGACGACATCAATTGTGCCTAGTTATTGAGAATGGATGAGCAACGAGGCCATAACGAGCAACATTTATTCAGTGGACACTTCTAAATGATATATCTAATTAATTCCAATGAATTAGTGGAATTTTCTACATAGTTTACCATATTTTGTTAATTTTCTACATAAGTTACCATGCTTTGTTATCCAGAGCATGCATAGTGAAACGAGTCACTTACACGGACGGTGATAATATCTCCTGTACATTGTACTGAAATGAAGTATCAGATCAAATAAGCAACCTTAACAAGTTGTCTCAATTTTAGAATATAATGGGATCATATCACTCTAATTCTTTCATTTTCTTAAAATCATCATTGTGCATACTATAGGAAAACTTTAGATTTTAGTCTTGCTTCAAGACCCTGCCCCCCCCCTCCCTCCCTTGTCTACCTTAAAAAATATTGGTAAAGGAGTGGCCCAGGTCTTTAAACAAGACTGTTAGCATTAAGATAGTGTGTTCATTTCTCTATAAATGCAGTTACCACATTTATTAATTAAGGAACACCCAAAAATTTGTTGAAAATTCAGCACTTAAAATCTTCATTAACTTCTCCATTTGATGATATTCCGTGGATCTTTAGGGGATTTTATATTTGAGATAAGACAAATATATTGGGAGTATAATTGTACACCATTGCTTGCAATTTCGTACCCCATTTAGCTCTGATTCTGTTTTTAAATAGGTGGTGGCACAAGGATGAAGCCTGTCACGGTGGGTAATGTTATCAGTGTACATCCGGCTATCCAACAGTATACGCTAGATGCTGTTACACAGAGGAACATCAAAAAATGTAAGTGAAATATCACCAACAATAAAACTCACATGAAAAGTGTGCATAAAATATTCAAAACGCATGAGTGATAATGTGGAAAATACCCGATAGGATTCATATTTAATTTATTTGTTTATTGTGATTTGCTGCTCTGCAGCGTTGTTATTTACTTGTGTTGAGATCTTATCTTCCGAATCCAAATTGATACACATAGAAATATCCTCATGCTGGTGTAAAAAAAATTATGGTCCCCTGGGGATTATGGTCCCCTTTCTTAAAGGCCTTACTGGCCCTGATTGTGGATACGATAATAAGGAAAGAGTTGTATTTAGGTCACCATATAAATCATTGGAAAGTAGGACCATATTTGATAGGACCTCCTACCCTTTTACGCCGGGCCTCATGCTCATTCATATTCTCTATTACATTAGGTCATGCTGCCTCTGTGCCAAGGAGTGTTCACAAAGGCATCTCTACATTGAAGGTGAAAATTGCAAATCTTAGGAAATCTGAAGAGAATTATCGTAGGGCCAAGAATACTAAACAGGTAGGATAGTTTGCCATGCTTTTGTTAACAGACCTGTGATTGCATCTGAATGCAGAAGATGCAGATAGTATGTTAATTTTTCACTTTTCTTCTTCAGTGCCATATTGTTATGTTCAATTCTTATATTTGGAATATAAACATGGCTTTTACAAGTGTGGGCGTCTACTTATTCAGCCCAAATATTTCCCTCTGCCATTCATGATTTATAAGCTTTGCAACAGAGATGTTGCTCGTTATTGTACAATTTTTATGCTTCTTTTCAGGCCAACAGGGTACAATTGGAGAGAAACAATCTGTTGAAGGAAAAGGCAGCCCTTGACGAGAAGGTTGAACAGGTATGTATGGTTGTTCAAATCCTGGAATGGCAGTCCCTAAATCAAAATGGTCTGCCTTAACTTTTAAAACTCTTGAATATTTTGGCAAAAGGGTTAGATCACCCTAAATGCTAAGCATTTAAAGATAGCCTTGAAGGCTCTCTAGCAAAATTGGTCACCAGAGCCTTTAGAGTTTAAAGCATTTTAACCTAAATGCTAAAATTTAAAACTTTCTAGCAAAATATTATTTATTGAGCACTTCCAGCCCAAGAATCTTAATAGATGTGTTCATAATGTTTTGGGCACCCGTCTTCCATTTCGTATTTAAGTATTATATATTTTCTTAAAATTAATCTCCTTTGTGAAATAGTCATGTAGAGTAGAAACATTTTATTCATTTAGGTCGAACCTTGTAGCAGCATGAGAAAGTTTTTTCTTTTAATTGCTGAAAAATAGCCTTTTTGTTGCTTTTCCCCCAGAATTGAAAAGGATCATGCTAAAGATGGCAAAATTTAAATGCAATTTAACTGATTTTTTCTCTATGGTGACAAGTACAAACCAAGTAAACCACACACTATTAGTTTTTAAATCCTCTGGCAACTTTTAACACTTAAAAAATTCATCTCTTAAATAATGTCAACAATTGGCTGTCATCAACCTCTGTCCATATGATTCCGTTTTAAGTTATTTTTGTTCAACATCAATACAGAAATCCCCCATGCCTCCTGGTTTAAAAGCTCGCCTATTTTCAAAATGGCCACCATTTTCGTCTCGCAAAATTCACTTTTGGACCATTTGTTAGCTTTTTGTCACTGTAAAGAGTAGTTTTATGCAATAATTTTGTTACAAAAAATCTGCAAAAAAATTATATCCGTTTTTTTTTATTTTCAGCCATTTTAGTTAACATTATATATTGCTGCAAAAAAAACGATTTTGTAAATAAAAATAAAACCCTGGCCTCAAAAATGAGTTATTCACTCTAAGATTGATCCAATTATTGCATGATTCAAGGCTACTTTTATCAATTTTGCGAAGGGGGAGTTAAGACATCCTCCGATCAGGGCTTCAAGATCTAGAAAATATTCTTCCTCTACCCTCGCCCCCCCCCCCACCACCCAAAAATAAACAGTTCGCATTCTGATTCGCTTTCGTGGCACTGAGGAAGCCAATCAAATGATCTCTTACATACCGTCCTGCTCATTCCCGCTTTACGTTACCGCAACCGTTACGGAACTAAATTCTTTTAAATCTGTCTCAAAAACATTCCAATAATGCATGATCGAGGACACACTTGTATTTGGGATGGTACGTTTATATTCATAAGGTATATTTGCTTGCTTGGATCTCATTATTTTGGCAATAACAATAATCTATTAGTATAAATACCTCTACGCATGAACTCAAAGCGCCACTTCAAAATTGTTGAGGAAAGGAAAATCTGATTGGTTAAAAATGATATCAATGATAACACATGTATACGTCATCGGTGCTTAACTCGTGTTTGGTGGGGAAACATCGGGGAAATATCAACATAGTGCAGCTTTGTAGTAACAATTAACAAAGAGTCTGCTAAATACAAGCATGTCTGCCATTTTATGACATCTTTAAATTGTTGTCACATTTCCTTTTCTAAATTGCATATTAATGACCACCTTTTTATGGGTTACGTGTTATACACTATAAACAACCAACAACACCATGCATGTATTGCAGATACTGGTAGAACAAATGAGGAGATTGACACCCAAAGAGAAGAACAAGAAACGAGATGAGATCCTACAGGATGCAAATATTGTAGCTTGTACACTAAAATTTTCCGGCCAGAACTTGACTTCACTGAGAGGGTCACGTCTTGGGAGAAAACACTTCACTGCAGTAATAGTAGATGAGGTACGTATTTGTAATGAAATTGACCGACATTTCCCATCAGGACCAAAAAATCACCCATTGAGATGAATTTTGGAAGTAAATTTTGGAAAAGTAGAAAAGTAAGAATAAAACTAACTAAGCTGCCATTCATACATAATCCTTTAATGAGATTATTTTGCATATTCCAGGCTTCTCAAACAACAGAGTTAGATTGCTTGGTGCCTCTGATGCATGGATGTTCTAAGTTGATCCTTGTTGGTGATCCTGAACAGTTGCCTGTCACTGTACTTTCTAAGGTAAATATGAACAGGGTGACAGCGATCAATTGTAAATATATACAGAGTGACACGAACAGCTGTTTCTAATGTTAATATATGCAGAGTGATCTAAAGATGTTCACTCCTGTAGTTTCTAAGGCAAACATGCACAGGGTGAGGTTGAACAACCGTTAATATAAACCGGGTGGCCCAAACAGCGTCTTTATAACTCGTCGGAAGATATTTTTATTTCCATCATTTCTATTCCACCAAGAAGGAGGTTGATTTGTCTCCACATATTTTATCTGTATGTTAATGGTAGTAACATCCCATTTTAAGTTATTTTTGTTCAACATCAATACAGAAAACCCCTCTACTGTATGACTCCTGATTTAAAAGCTGGCCTATTTTCAAAATGGACACCATTTTTGTTTCGCAAAATTCACTTTTGGACCATTTGCTAGCTTTATAAATAATTTCAGATGTCCTGCATTGTAAAAAGCCATGTCACTGTAAAGAGTAGTTGTATGTTATAATTTTATTATAAAAAATCGGCAAAAAATTATATCAGTTTTTTTTTATCTTCAGCCATTTTAGTTAACATTGATTTGTCTATTTGTCTTTCAGCGAGTCAACAATAGAAGCACGTTTTAAAACCTGGGTCAATAAGATTCCTGTTTTAAATTATTTTGGTTCCTCTTTAATATAGAAGTCACTCGTGTGAGTCCAGGTTCAAAAGCTTGCCTATTTTCAAATTGGCTGTCATTTTAGTTGCGGAAAATTCACTTTTTTGTCAATTCAGTAGCTTTTAACTGATTTCCGGTGTCCTGTGTTGTAAAAGAATTGGCAAAAATTTATATCTGCTTTTAGCTCATTTTTATTGTCTGCCATTTTAGCCATCATTCACTTTTCTCTTTCTGAGCAATACCATGTGGGCCCAGTACCCACGGTCCTATTTATTTACTATATTTGATTTATATCATTTAAATATGGCTATTTTTGCTTATAATTGCTTCAAGAGGGGTCAAGTTTCTCAAAATATCTTTTTTTAAATTATTTCAAAACAGCTCACTTCACACAATCATAAAACGAGAACAAGGAATAACAAAGTTCAACCCAAGTTCATTCCTGGTTGGGACTCTCTCAAGTTCAAGGAACCTTCTTATCTTAACAAATTGCATATTAAAATAAAGGGCACTGGCATTGTCAAATATTTTAAGGCAGCCCTAAAACTGCACCTACCTTATCAAAGTATTAATTTATTTGTTGACTAAATCAACTCCTGTATTATTATACATTATGATATCCTTGATGAAATTGTAGAAATGGTGTCTCCTGCCCATTATACACTCTGTGTCATGTGCACATGTACTTGTTATTTTACTTGTAATTATAATATGGATTTAAATAAATGAAATAAACAAAAATAAAAAAAGTATGCACAACACAATTTGTAGATTTTGAAATTCAACAATATTTCAATGTCGATACCGTGACTCATCCGTTGATCCATCCTTTTCAATGAGTTGAGAATGGGGCGTGTAAATATACTGCTGCATTTCAGAAAGCAAGTGATCATAAATTTGGCAAGTCGTTATTTGAGCGGTTATATCGACAATTCAATGACCCACAACTAGCTAAAGACAACCCTGTACTAATGTTGGACACCCAATATAGAATGCATCGTGACATCAACAGATTTCCCTCACAACATTTCTACAATAGTAGACTCCACACTGACAGGTGAGATCTGGGCCTAGGAATACGTTATAAAATGTTTTAAGAGCCATCTAGTGTGCTGAGTTGGTAATGTGTATTTTATATGTATATATACTTACACATGCATAATGATGAGCGATTGATGGATGTAACACAAGAAAATTTATTTCATATTATTGATGTATTCCCGTGTTTTGAAAAATTAGTCATACAAACAATTGCAAAGCAATTTTCTTACCTTGTGCATGCGATATAATCTTTATTAACTGACTGATGATCTTACAAGAGGTACTGCAAATTTTGATATACATGAGGTAGTCGTTTACTTCACTGAATGATTTACTAGTATGTCATTGCCCCAAATGGTTATTTGTGAAGTATAAAATAGTTATTCACCGGGAGGGGTTGGATATGGGAAATATAACAAGGGTGATATTGATGATTTACCACTTGCTATTATATACCTGATATTGCAGTGACCATGGTATAAGACTCAATACTTTAGGAGGTTTTCTACATCTGTATCATCTTTTTTTTAGAAAAATTGCTGCAAAACGTGATGCTTTTCCATTTCAACCATATTTGGTGTTTGATATGACAGAGGGGCAAGAGGAACAATTACCTGAAGGGTATGTATTTCCTTTGTAGTGTTTGTCGAGTTAGCATGGTACGATAGAAGGTTATATCTCTTAGAAGGATACACACATACATACTGTGGTACAGATAAATTAAAATACCCTGCTCATGAATGAAGTTGTACACTATCGGGTACAGTACATAACATGTTTTAAATGTTTGAATTTTGAATTGTAGATCAACTCGAAACAGAATGGAGGGAGCCTTTGTTGTAGAACTCTGCAGATCTATACTCAAGTGCAAGGCAGGAAAAGATCTAAAAGGCTGTCATATAGGCATTATAACACCATACAGCGGCCAGAAGACCTTTATACAAGAGCAACTGAATATAAGGTATTCAAAAGACTAGGGGTTCACCTTTTATTTTGTAAAATGAGATATGTAGTATATATTCGTTATGACATGTGACCCATGACCTGTCAAGTCCCGATTTGTCGTTAACGTTACTCTCGAGATATTTGAACAAGACACCCCGATTTTTGTTAAAAACTCCAGATTTATTGAATTATGTTTTTGTAAACCCTGATTTTTTAGGAAATGCACCATACTCCCACATACGAAAACTAAAGCAACTTGACAGACTATACCCACCGTGTTTTAGCAATCCAAATTTTAAATGAATTATCGATTTAGTGTTTGTACAAGAAAATGAACCCCCATTTTTACCCTGATATTTTCCAAACAACCATGATTTTCAGAAGAAATCTCGATTTTCCGGCTTTGTTTCTCTTGACACGTATAGTATACTACTGTATATGTACTATAGTATTACTTGCCCATATTTGATAATGATAAAACATTTTCCAGGAAAGGATGCGAAGATATTGAGGTTAATACAGTGGATGCTTTCCAAGGACGAGAAAAAGAAATCATCATAATGTCCTGCGTCAGAGGGAAAAGTAATCCAGGAATAATTGGGTTCCTGGCAAATAGACAACGCATGAATGTTGCCCTAACTCGTGCCAAAAATGCTCTCTATGTTGTGGGCTCTCTGGAGTCTGTCGCTGTTAGTGAAGACTGGAAGGCTTTAATAAAGGATGCTAAACAAAGGTCAAAGGTGGTTAGAGTTATTGCACAATGGGATCATGTGTTCAAGAAATGTCTCAAGTAACCTTTATTTGAAGAATGTCGAATGTCAATGTACCAATTCATAGGCATCGTGTGTTCAAGAAATCTGCCACACAAATGTTATTCAAGGAGCTTCTACTTAATTCTTGGCGGCCGTTTTAATTTAACGGCTCTTGCTCGAGTCTCTAGCCAAATTACTACCACACACTGTGGCCGAAGAATAAGGTAAAACTGCTCCATCTAATTGTTGAAGTCCGCCAAATAAAGTAGCCGGCAAAAACCTCTATAATTTTAGTACCATGTAAATTAGTACCACTAGCGCATTGTTATATTGCAAGTCCGCCACATTAAGTAGCGCTAATAGTTTATCAAGTAGAAATACAGTAACTGTACAATACCCTTTTTGTGTCATTCCAATGGCAATGTGATGATAATCCATGTCACTGTGACATGCTGCTTTCTAGAGACCCCGCTAGAAACCATCACATTTGACCAGTGTAGACCAGGTTGCAGTTTTGAAAAATTACATGTATGTATCTCTTGAAAGCCCATGGTTAAACAAAACATGTGGGGCAGTGTATTTATACTAGTATATTAAAAGATGTCCGTCCAGACAGTAACTCAAATACTGTTGGCCGATTGACTTCAAGGGTTCCAACTCGATCTTCTGCCATATATTGAGTCATGTCGTAATTATAAAGTTAAACAGCGGCCATTTTCTTTACTTCAGAATTTGAATCGCGAGCTTTTATATGACCAACTTATGGTGGTCACATTTTGTTATGGTTGGAGCTTGACAGTTGGTGGTTGCCGATCGGCATCTGTATACAAATTCTTACAACTTCGAATAACTTAATACTGTTTAGACTGACTTTAATTTTTCAAAATCATCTTCAAGTTTTCAGAAGTTCAAATCTGACTTTATTTTTAAGATTTGACCTTCAACGATCTTGTCAAGGTCAAAAAGGTACGTGTTTTTTCAACTTGCTCCAAATTGACCGATTTTTTCATCAATTATAAGTTATCAGAAGTTAAAATCTGACTAGATTTGAGATATGATTTTCAATGACAAGGTCAAAAATGGTATTTTATCAACTTGCTTCAAAATGACCATTTTTACAAAACCATCTACACGTTCTCAAAAGTTCAAATCTGACTATAGATTTAACTTTCAATTCAATGACATTTTCAAGGCCAAACCCCAACAGAAAAAAAGATACACTTGGCGTCAGAAAAATCCTACAATAATGAGTAGGTTAGATTTGTGGCTGTGTTCAGATAACCTCCAACATAATGTTGAGAAGATTGATATAGATACAGGTATTAAGTCGGATCATTCTCCTATAGTCATTTATTTTAACAATATAAATAAAAAACCAGGCCCAAACCACTGGCGGTATAATAATAGCCTTTCGAATGACATTGATTTTAAACATGAACTTGAGCAAAATATTCCCAAATGGTTAAATGAAGTTACAGAAATTGAAGACCAAAGAGTTGTCTGGGATTTTATTAAATACAAAATACGACATTTTACCATTGCTTATTCAAAGAAGAGGGCAAAGGCTAGAAAGAAAAACAAATGTGACCTAGAAAATAAACTCAATACGCTACAGAGCAATTTAGATAAAAATCCAAATGACATAGAAATTAAAAATGCATACTACGAATGCCAATTACAGCTTGAGACTCATTTTGACTGTGTAACACAAGGTGAGAAAATTCGATCAAGATCTCAAGATTTTGTTGAAGGGGAGAAAGGCTCAAAATATTTTCTTCGATTAGAGAAACAAAATGCTGCAAAAAGTAACATAACACAATTAAAAATTGCAAATGGGGTAATTTCTAAAGATTTTAAAACAATTCAAAATAAAATCAAGGAATTTTATAAACAGCTTTATTCAAAATCAAAAGCAAATGTATATAATAAAAATGCAAATGTATTCTTAGAAAATAAAAATATTCCTAAGCTAACCGAGGAGGAAAAATTGTCTATGGAATGCCAAATCACAGAGCAAGAATGTTATAAAATTCTTCAAACTTTTAAAAATAATAAGTCCCCCGGAAGTGATGGTCTTACTATTGAATTTTATTCTACATTTTGGGAAAAAATAAAAACAACTTTTATGAATTCTATAGGTTTCACATTTAATAAAAAGGAAATGTCAGTTTCTCAGAGAGAAATCATTATGAAACTCATTCCGAAAAAAGGAAGAGATGTCATGTTTTTAAAAAATCAACGTCCGATTTCATTAATAAATGTGGATGCAAAAATTATTTCCAAAGTTATGTGCAAGCGCATTGAATCTGTATTAGGCAAATTAATTAAATCAGATCAAGCAGCATTCATAAAAGAAAGACAAATGGCTGAAATTATAAGATTAATAGATGACATGATGTTTTATACAGAAGATGAGAATATAGGGGGCGCTTTCGTAGCTGTTGACTTTCTCAAGGCCTTTGATTCTCTAAGCCACGATTTTTTAATAAAAGCTTTAGAAAAACTAAATTTCGGAGAATATGTTATTTCATGGGTTAAAATATTGTATTGTAATATAACTGCCCAAGTTATGAATTTGGGGTTCTGCGGGGAAAAATTTAAAATAGAAAAGGGAATTAAACAAGGTGATCCATTATCACCAATACTCTTCATCATTGCAGTGGAGTTTCTAGCCCAAAATATAAGAGATGATGTATTAATAAAAGGAATTCAAATTGGTAATAAAGAAATAAAACTGAGCATATATGCAGATGATATGACGTTGTTTGTTAGGGATAAAAACTCCATACTGCAGTCAATGAAAGTACTTGATAGCTTTGAAAAATGCAGTGGCCTTAAAACAAACTTAGACAAAACTGAACTCTTTACAATAGGAAGATTTAAAGATCAAATTTTGGACATTGAACATTTGAAACAAGTTCAAGAAATTAAAATTCTTGGAGTGTATTTTAATTATGATAGAAAGCTCAAAGCAGAGAAAAATTTTAGGTCGACAATTAATCACCTTAAGCAGGTATTGAGCCTATGGCAAAGTAGAAATTTGACAACTTTAGGTAAAATACAGATCGTAAAAACTTTTGGGCTGTCAAAATTTAGCTTTATTAGTTCAGTTATTGAAACAGATGATTGTTATGTAAAGGAAATAAACGGAATTGTTTTTAAATTTATTTGGAACGGAAATGACAAGATTAAAAGAAAAGCACTTATTTCAACAATTAAAAAAGGTGGACTCAACATGAGCGACCTCAAAACCAAAATTCAAACCTCTCAATTAAGATGGGCCCAAAAGCTTTTAAAGGATACTAAAAAGGAATCACAATGGACAATTATTCCAAATCATTATCTCCATAAATATGGCGGGCTTCTACTTTTACTAAACTGCAATTTTGACATAAATAAACTAAATGCAATTAGCCCAAGATTTTATCATAATATTTTAAAGGCATATAAGCTTTTAAGGAGACCAAAGAAAAATACATTGGATGAAATAATTTGGAATAATGAGAACATTGTCATCAGAAATAAATCAATATTTTGGAAGGAATTTTATGATAAAGGTTTTCTAAGAATCAAAGATGTTATGCTTAATGGAATGGTTAAATCATGGAATCAGGTCAAAATGCAAACTGGACTCTCACACAATTATATGCTAAAATGGTTTGGCCTCATTCAGGCAATACCATCAGATTGGTTAAGAGTACCGAATGGAAATATGAATGACCAGGTATCTCTAGAAAATATAATGGTAATAAAAAACGATACAGAAGTCAACTTTTTAAAATGTACATCTAGAGAATTTTATAAAATATTGCTGGAAGCTATTGCAGAATATCCAACAGCAAAACACACTTTATCAGATAAATATCATATTGAAGAAGAAGATTGTCATTTTACTATGAACACTTTCATAAAACCCTGACATATTCAAAACATAAGGCATTTCAATATAAGCTCATAAACAATATTTTGTATACAAACAGTGAACTATTTCAATACAAAATAACACCTTCACCAATGTGTGAGTTTTGCCATGTGAACATAGAAACTTGTGACCACATCTTCTTTAATTGTGATTATACGAAACAGTTTTGGAAATCAATAATAGATAATACACTAAAAGATCTCGAAAAATTTTCTCTGCTTACAGTAGTATTTGGTAGCCCAAAATGGAGTGATTTTGAAAATATGGTAATTATTATAGGAAAGTACTACTTATATAATAAGAAAATGCAACAAGAGCCTCCAAATTATTACAACTTTAAGGCATATTTAGATTATTGTTTAAAAATGAAAATGGATTTTAACAGTATGATGGTATGAGTGGAGAATGTGAATGAATGGGTAATGGAGTGACTTGTATAATATTTCACCTATATGTATACATTTTATGTTTGATGAATAAAAAAAAAAAAAAAAAAAAAAAAATTCAAGGCCAAAAAAGATTTGACCTTCAATGGTCTTCTCAAGGTCAAAAAGGTCTTTTTTCATCTTGCTTCAAATTGACCAATATTTTTTAAAAATCATCTACAACTTCTCAGAAGTTTGAATCTGACTTAGATTGAACTCATAATATTGTGAGCAACTTGGTGGTGACATTTTGTCATGTAATGCCTTGTTGGTCTTATTTCCAAACAAAAAATTCAAAGCACACAAGAAGTGATCAAGATATAAGTTCACAGATTTTGGATTGCTGATTATGAATTTATAGTCAGTTATAATGTCAGAAAATAACTACATTTTTAAAGTTGTCGATAAAGGTCGTAGCTATAGTTGAGTGATTTTGTTGAAATTCTATATGTGTCATATTGCACATTCTTATGACAATTTGGCTAGTGAGCGGCCATTTTGAAAAATGATAGCAAGTTTTACTTTTGTTATTTATGTTTTTTTGCTATAAGTGGAAAAGTAAGTGTGGATTCAAAAATGAAACATCCAAGTATGTCATCTTTAATTCCAGACTCCGTAGGAGTAGGATCCTCCTAACTGACTTCGAAACAAAACTAGATAACCTTGAAATCCGATATAAAAAGAATTTTAAGACTCAACATGAGAAATTGAATTCTTTTTGGCAGCTTAAAGTTTAACCGCTCTACAAACATAGCTGTTTTTGAAACTAATGCCTCTTTTCTC